CCCTCTAAGATGGTGTTATCTCGATCGGACCCACTTTCGCACCCCCCCCCCTTTTCTTTCTCCCCATTTTTCGGCCCCGGCCCTCCCTCTTTCGGACATCTTTGGATATTCCCCTGAACTGGCCTGCATGCCAGCAACTAAAGAACATAGGCTATTTATTTTTAACATTGTTCTGTGTATATCATTTGAATTTCTTGAATTTCAAACGAATGACCGCTGATTTTCGTATAATTTTTGTAGCATTTCAAATGAATGTACCCACTGTTGTCTTCTAATCGGACTAAAATCTGACCGAATTTTGGCCGATATCGAAAAAAAGTTCGGCCGAATTTGGCTGTGAGATGGCGTGTGTTTGGCCGTGAAGCCTGTCGACTATCTGGCAACCCTGCTACTAATCACGAAAATGATTTGTGAACAGTACTACCGTACCGGCTAAATAACACCTGCACTGCATATCCATAGGTCTCGACCTACAATAAACTAATAACACCATACATAGGCCTTGCCTACCTAGGCACTGAAATATTATCTTAAACTACAATTTATTATTATTTTCAGATGGTGTTCATGTCGCAGTCGTCAGTCAGTTAAATTCCTCACAAATGGAAAAAAAATTGCCTCGGCCCTAGGTAGGCCTAGCTAGGACTTGCTTGGATGGATACAGGTTTGTTAATATCTTAAACTACAATTTATTTATTTTCAAATGGTGTTCATGTCGCAGGCGTCTGTCAGTTAAATTCCTTACAAATGAAAAATAAAAATAGCCTCGGCCCTAGGGTTTGCTTAGATACAGGTTTGTCAAGTTAAATTTATAGTCTTAGCCTACCTAGGCATGGCCTATAGATACCGGTACCTTTCACGATCACTAGGCCTAGGCCTAGGACACTGTGACCTAGGCCTAGGCCTAGGCTAGCCTTAGGCCTAGCCCTAACTAAACAGAAATACACATCCCCACATACCTCAATGTATCCTGTTTCTGTCATAATGGTGATTATTATTAAGGAGATATCCTTGTTATATTATATTATAACAATGAATACTGGGCCTGATAATATAATTTTGTACAAAAATCTCGAGTAAATAATTAATGGTCGAAGCCAGATTTCGCGCGTGTTTACTATGGCGCGCCTGGATATACAGCCTGACTTCATCACGCTTTTGTTCTTAACAACTGGGTCAGGTCAGGTCTGGTATTTTCGCTACACTTCATTGAATTTATATTATAAGCTCGACAGTATATTAATTTATTAAAAAACAAATTGATGAAAAGACGTAAAATTGTAGCATACTGTTTTGTAGTTAAAAACTGAATTACAATCGCCAATATAGTTTATACAATTCCGAAACCTGGGCGGATGGGAGGGATATCACAAGGAGGGGGAATTTTATAAGCTCGACATTATATTTTATTTAAAATCCAAATACAATCGATGAAAAGACGTAAAATTATTGCAGCATACTGAATTAGTAAAACTAAATTACAAGTCGTCTGCAGTATAGTCTAGTCTGTCCGAAACTAGGGGCGGATGGGAGGGGGTGTCGCACGGAGGGGGAACGGCAACGTCCCCCATGTTTTTCCACTGTTACAATGTTTCGTAAAGCCTGTTTTCCACTTGGCGAATTCCCCCATGTTTTTCCACTGTTACAATGTTTCAATGTTTCGTAAAGCCTGTTTTCCACTTGGCGAATTTATTCGCGCGAATGGAAAGCGGCGGCTCATGCACATGCGCATCCCATGGTTTCTATCGGAGTTTTTGCTACTAAAAAAATGCGCAACCAATCAGAACTCGGGAAGCGAACCGACGCTTTGATTCGCGCGAATAAATTCGCCTAGTGGAAAACCAGCTTAAAGCCAGTTTTCCACTAGGCGAATTTATTCGTGCGAATCGCATATCGAAAGCGTCGGTTCATGCGCATGCGCGTTCACAATTCTTATCGGAGTTTTTGCGAAACGAAAAAAAGCGCAACCAATCAGAGCTCAGGAAGCGAACCGACGCTTTGATTCGCGCGAATAAATTTGCCTAGTGGAAAACAAGCTTTAAGCCGGTCGGGAAAGCCGGTTTTCCATTAGGCAAATTTATTCGTGCGAATCTAAGCGTCGGTTCGCTTCCTGAGCTGTGATTGGTTGCGCATTTTTTTGCTTCGCAAAAGCTCCGATTTGGAATGTGAATACACATGCGCATGAACCGACGCTTTCGATTCGCGCGGATAAATTCGCCAAGTTGAAAACAGGCTTAAAGATGGTTTTCCACTAGGCGAATTTATTCGCGCGAATCAAAGCGTCGGTTCGCTTCCTGAGCTCTGATTGGTTGAGCATTTTTTCGCTTCGCAAAAACTATGATAGGAATGTGAACGCGCATGCGCATGCGCATAAACCAACGCTTTCGATTCGAGCGAATAAATTCGCCTAGTGGAAAACCGGCTTAACGCAGCAAAGCTGAACACAAATATTTAAATATGCCGCTTCCATGAAACTGACAAAACGGGTGCCTCGTTTTAAAAATCCCGGATCCGCTAATTATGTCATCATCAGAAATGAAAAATTATCCATATTTGCAAGCTTATATGCACAAGTACCAAAAGTGTTTGACCAATCAAAACATTACCCCTAGTAGGTGACATATTGAATAAACTAAAGATCAAAGATCTTTAAGATGTTTGTCATGAAGATGGCAAGTCATGGAGAAGTGCATTACAATAGTGAAGACGTGAAGACAAAACTGAGTGAACAAGCTTTTTGGATGTATCAACAGATAAATATTTGTGGTTATAAACATTGCGATTTGTTAAATTAGATATAATTATTGCTCATGTTAATAAACTGAGATTATTTTATAGACCATTTATCTCTCATGTTACTGAATTGAGTTCATCGATTTGTTCAGCAGTTCTGAGCGTTCCTTAATGTTGCTGTGATCCCATTAATGTTAAATGCATACATAATTGTTATTCATGTTGAATTACATTATGTTACCCTTGTAGTCAAGAATATGACAGGTTAAACGGATAAATTATGTATGCACTGTGTCTTTAACAAATTATTCAAGATGTTCAATACTCTGGCATTCATTTAATTCATTCAATTCAATTCAGCATTTCTATTATTTTTTACTGGTATTTCAAGATTTGCAGTTTTTCAATAGCCATAAACTATGAATCCTATTTCGTCACTGCTTGCTTAATCATATTACTGTATTCGGAAAATATTGTATTAGAATTTAATAGGCCTATACAGTAATTTCAGGATTGCACATACTATCAACCATATACAATTTTTGTATAAAAATTGCCTACTATCAACCATATACAAAATGTCAAACACTGATTATAAATAATATGGTGGGCACAGCTAAGTTAACAGGTCGTTGTGAATGTATGTTTGTACTGTAGGCCTTATGCAACAGAAATCAGTTACTTGGCCCAATCTTTATTCCGCCCTGAACCCCCCCACCCCATTTTAACAGGTTTTGGTAGTGAAATATTAGAGTGTTTAGAGAGGTAGAGTGAACAAAAATTTACACCTCCAAGAAAGGAAGCAAAACAATCAGGATGAAGTAGTATGACAAGTTAAAATACAACAAAATAAAATCCAAATCTGCTCGTGCTTTCAGAACTGCTTTTATTTAAAAAATCGATTTTGCAACAATTTTATACACTGATGGATCGACTTTTCATACAGTATGTGTGTCACTGTATCAAAGGTGCTTCCAAATAAATTGATTGATTATCGTGAGTACTTAATACCAAAATATTATTTTCAATTTCAACAGACAAAGCAAGTAAACTTGCTATCTGGTACCTATCTAGTGTCTCTTCAACACTGTACCTCAATTTTTGTATTTACTGATATTCTGAATAAAATAAATCAAACAATTAATAAATAAATCAGTGTTTAAATGCCAATTACACCCATACCCACCTAAACATTGCTTCCAACACACTTCCTTATATATTAATGTTTTGTGAAATGCTGGTAATAAAAAAAACTAGGCCTAATCTCAGCTGGCCTCATAAATATGAACCTTCTATCTATAATCAATATAGAACATATCATATCATTTACAATAAGATACATCAGAAAATGATTTCAAATCCATTATATTAACTGGCCAATAACTAGGGTTGTTCCTTATGGTTTGGCCAAAACCTCTTTTCAAGCAAAATTACACGTTATAAACCAAATCAATCCTCCCTGTCCATCAAAACCATGAAATAAAAATCACCCCTCAGAAAAGCGATTCTCTTAGGCTCCCCCAGGTTGCCTAAGCATCCTCTGGATCTCACATGAAATCTACACAAGTAATCCTGGTTACAGGCCTGAGTACTTAATTGTCCTAATTAAATAACTAGTAAATTTTGACTGAGGCTGTGACAACCTACAGCAGCCAGAGTACATTGCCACCGCTGGTGGTGGGAGGGCAATGCACAGGGACACTATTCCTCCTATATACTAAAGTGTGTATGCATTGTTTAACATACACAATAGCGCATTCGATTCGGACTTATTTGTTGAGTATGTTAGCCACGTTAAGTACAAACTCAAAGAAAAGTTAGTGTTATTTAACCAACCGAATACAAAAAGTACTTAACAGATTTTCTGTTGAGCACGAAAGTTCCCATTCGAGTAAGAAAATTGTCTAACTTGTATAATAGACCAACATTTTAAATGTCTCTTTTGAAAGAGAATGTACTTCACAGGGAGAGCAGCTTGATGGAATAGAACCAAGAACCTTAACATCTCATTGGTTTAGCTCACACACTGGCTAACACCTAAGAGCCTAAATAGAACAAGAGAGTTTGTAAATACGTCACCCCACTAGTTATGATGGAAGTTGCCACCTTCATTATGGAGTGAGCCCACCGTGTATGAGTTCACATGAAGTGCGCCCACTCGATGGTATAAGATAAAAAAGTAAAGAAATCTACCGCCATACACAAAAATTTTTTTATCATGTACAAAACGGATAAATAGACAAACAGACCATTCACGGTGCAATACTGGGTAATCCATTAGCAGCGGCTGTCCTACACTGGCATTCTTACGTTTTCAATGAGGTAGTTGGCTCTCTTGTTCTATTTATACTCTTTGCTACCACTAGTTTTAACTAACTGTGATATGCTTCTCTCTTAAACTTTGAAATAAGAATACACCAAATTCCATCTGATTTCGTGTATGAAGGTTTTCCACGAGTTCAGGCTCCAGCAATTTAATTCCGTCTGATTCTATGTCTAGATATTCGCCACGAGTTAGGTTCTTCATATTTATTGTAGAGTGGTTCAAGACGCTGCTGTTTCTTCTGTTTGCTAAGTTTAGTTGGGTCTGAAAATTTGTAGAATGCCGGCGCAAACTCCACTAGCCACTTAGGGTCAATGGTTGTCACCTCTCTCATGTACTCCTTAGTTGTCAACACCAGCTCATGGTATATCACCCTACAAAAAATTAAAAATTATGTACTGTAAATGTTATTATCTACAGTCTTATTGGTTGTGTCTACAAAGACTAATGATGGCACCAGTGGGGATGCCTGTTCTTAAAGTATACTTTTGCTAGGTATAATTGTTAAATCTAACTTGCAAAATAATGGATTTAAGACAAATTTAAGCTGATTTCTCTGCTAAGAACGTTCAATAAATCTGGCCCCTGAATCGCAGCTTATGCAAAAAAAGCAGCAACGATTATTTAAATTAGGCTCACACTACGTCAATCGACAGTCATCTAATCAATTTCGTGGAGAACAACGTGACCAGAGAATCGTCATCAGCGACCTGCTCAGACCACCATTGAAAATCAACTAAGTCGCTTCATAAAGCAATTGCGAAAAAGTAGAGATGGATTCATGAGCCAATGACTGACTTGACACGGTGTGCCACCAGCTCAATAATACTTACCAGTCTGGCTGCCTGTTGAACAATGCACTTGCTGGATGGATGTACACCACCTGCTGGTCACAAAGCGTACGATAGCCTTCCTGAGGATCCTGTTAAGAGGAAAAATAACCATTTTAATTAACACTTGGCCATGGAAACGTATTTTAATTACATGAATTTTAATTATAATACTCCTTGTGTATATATAGTAATTATTGTATATTTTTTTTAATAATGAATGTTTTTTGTACTGTTTTCAATATTTTGTAATGTTTTTATAGTGATTTATATCATTTTCATAGTGATTTTATATTGTATCTACTGTATGCTCCCTCTTATTGGTGTTTACTCTGTTGGGGTGAAATGAAATAAACCAAAAAATAAATATACCAGCTAGTTCATCATACTCAATAGATGGAGGTGTTAACATCAAAAGCTAACATTTTTATTCTATTTTACTTTATTTTTTGAGAAATTAAAATACAATACAAATGCTCTCCAAGAATAACAAAAAGTAAAACACTACTGAAGATTCTCAAAATGCATCAAATAAAGTAAAAAACTGCAACATTAAGTGAAAAAAAAAAAAATCCATGTATAATATACTATAACATAATATATAAAATTACAACATTATGTTCTTATATAGAATGTGTGTCTCAAGGTGTGTTAGCTGTGGGGGTCAGTTACATAGCTTATTCTGGTTACCTTTTTAGCAGCATTGCTGAAGAACCCACTGAGAAGAGCTTTCTGGACTTTGGCCGTTGTCTTTCCACAGGAAACAACATCTAGCTTGTGCCTATATAGGTAACACAAATATAAAATGTGATAATTCAGCACAATCTACCTGACCCCTTTCAACAACATGAATATCATGTACACTATGATCATAGCCAACGTGATCCCCGTCAATCATTGTGATTATTATAAACATTGTGATCATGTCTAACATGATCATTGTGATCATTCTGTCCACATTGAAATGACCACCATGATCACCTTAAATCCTTTTAACTATGTGATTACCACACACGCTGTGATCCTAGCTAACATGATCAATTTGACTTATCAATCACTGTGACTATTACAAACACTGTGATCATGTCTAACATGATCATCAATATAATTCTGTTCACATGGAAATGATGACAATGATCACCTTGATCCCTCTGAATAATGTTACTACTATGGACAATGCGATTGGACTTATATAATGTTTATGATCATTCCAATCACATTAAAACAACAACAATGTGATATAATAATAAAAACGCAGCAATCACAATTGTTACTGTGATCATCATCAAACATCTACCTGTCCATAATGCCCAGTAACTGTTTGCGGACATCTTGAGACCGTCTCAGTGTCCTTGCTTGCACAAAATTCTCAAAGCACCATGGATTTGAAAACTTGTTGTTTTTCCAGGAATTGTAAACAGCTAAGAGTGTAAGGTGGTCGCCTTCTTGTTGGTGGAACTTGGCCTTGCGCTGGTCTGCTATGGCTTGCTTGTCCTACCAATTCAAATCAATTAACATCATTAAAAGTCATATTCAATTTTTTTCTTGGCAAAAACATACATACACACATATCATATTTATTTAAATAAACTCCCCGCTTTGAATAAATGCCCCTTTCTAGAGCTTATTTTGGAATAAACACCTCTCTCAAATAAACTCCCCCGCTGCTAAGTAAATGTAAACAAATCTAATGGAAGCAACATCATTTCCAACACATTCTATTAATGTTCTACTCCAGGATACCTGGATAGAAACAATAAGTCTTTACAATCACGCATTAACATATTTTGAAGGTAATTATTTAATAATAATTATTTAATAATAATTTAATTAAGTTGTGGCTAGTGATCTCCATAAGCTAAGGATAAGCTGTGCAACTGCACAGAATAGAAATGACTGGAGAAAAGCTATCATGGTGAACAGTCTAACCCATGCTAGCATGGATTAATTACGGACTTGAAATGGGTTATTGATTGACTGATTGATAGTGCTTTATGTTCTAAACGATGGCTACAAATGTTGCTTACCTTTGGTCTATAAAAAACATTTTGAACAGAGAGCATTGACACTATAGTAAGAATCTCATCACTGCATCCTAAGTGTACAGACATGATTAAAACCTTTGACAACATCGGCTCCAGTGGAAATTCTGCCATCTAACAAAAAAAAAAAAACATAATCAGGGCTGGAAATGATGCGTGACCACACGACCGGCGGTCAGAAGCATTTTAGAAAACAAAAATTTTATATTTTTTTTTGTTTCACAATTTAAATGTACCAATGTTTAGCTATAATAGAGTACTACAGTGTTAGGTCACAATACTATGTGATACTACTCTGTTGCTATCATTGCAAAACGCGTTCAACCGGACGCCATTTTCTCCACTGACAAACCATTGATCCAAATTTCTAAAGTAATTATGAAGATGTTGTATCTTAGTTTTTCTTTGTGTGTTCGATAAATAATATAATGCGAGCTTTTGTGTTTTTAGTACATTTTGATGATAAAATATTAGATTTTAAAATGCCTATTCCAGAAAGCCTATGAAGTCATTCAGGCGTAATGAACGGTAACCAACGTCTGGTAGGCAACAGAGGGCGCTACCTGGTGTTGTGACGACACGACTGTGGTACTCTATTTTGTAAAGATAGCAATTGGTGCTGGAGTCATTTGATCAAGATAATTTTCATGGTCAGAGGCACAAAAATATTTTTTCTAGACCTGAAAATAATACCATATGTTATATTTTCATGATGTTGAAATTCAAGTGAGGGAAATCTCTACATTATTTATTTCTTGAACTTTCATAACAAATAATCCAAGAGCTTACTTTATATATTTATTTATATTGTTTTTAAAATCAAAAACAATCTTTTTGACAAGTTCTTACAAATCGATATGAACATTGAAAAAAATTTCAATTACAATTTATTATGTAAATTCCACTGTGGTGCAATTATTTTTAATAAGTAGGTTCCATATAAATATATTTTAGTTTACCAATCAATAAATCAATCAATTAATCAATCAATCAATCAATCATAGATATATTTGTTACACACACAGTGCATTTCAAGACTTTTTTTTATGATTGCAAACATCTCCACCTATAATGAGACTTTATAAAACATTACATAGGCTATTCCAACCTATAAGTGATTATTCACTTTATGTTAGAATTAGATGAGAAAGAACTGAGTACTACTCAGGCACTACTGAAGCTTACCCTCCTTCCAAGCCTAGTAAGTAGACCCTCATCATCAAGGGCACTCAGAGAGTGAAGCTGTTCCATGGCTGTGATGAGTGTCTCCATAGGGGGTGGATCCATAAAATCAAATGACAGAAGATCGTTGATGCCCATGGCCTTGAGAGAAAGCAGCGTACTTACTAGATTGGTACGCTGGATCTCGGGCACGGCAGTCGTTAGCATCTCATCCCGATATGCTCGTTCTGTATACAACCTGTAGCACTTTCCTGGACCAGTGCGGCCAGCACGACCTGCACGCTGCTTAGCTTGTGCCTGTTAAACAATATATAAATTGAGTGCCCTAATTTTAAAGTATTTAAATACAGAAGCAAATTAATAATGATGATAACCACAAAAAAAGGACAATATTAAAAAAAAACAACAAATACCAAAAGACGATAGGCCTTACCTGGGAAATAGGTGTGACAACGAGCTGGTCCATTCCAGTTTTGGAATTGTAAACTTTCTGTTTGACAAACCCTGGGTCAACCACATAGTAGATCCCATCAATTGTTAACGATGTCTCTGCAATGTTGGTTGCTATGACAACCTGTATGTATTCAAACAAGTTACAATCTTAAAAAATATCCTAGTTACTCAAGCCCAAATGTTTGTCCAGAGATATTTCTATTTGAATAAATGCTGCAGCCCTAAATTAAGAGTACATAAAAAATGCTTTCATATTTGTATAAGAATACTATTAGATAACCATTGCTGCAAATCAGATCAGCCTATCAACAATTTCATTAGCTCCGCTTTTACATAATTTTACACAAGTAATAACAACAATAATAATAAAGTAAATTAATTTGGTTTGTACAATATACTAATAATGACAAGTAAATATGAAGTTTCAGACTATAGAGGGCAGGCACCTAGTACTAAATGTGCTATTCCCGCCTTACCTTCCTACTCCCAGGAGGAGCTGGGTCAAATATCCTTGTTTGCATTTCACTGGGAAGAGATGAGTACACAGGCAGAATTATCAGTTCAGGGACCTCTGACCCCATTGATTTCATCCTCTCAAATAGAATCTCACAAGCAGTGTCAATCTCCTCTTGACCAGTCAAGAACAGAAGAATGTCACCTAGAAAATATGGTAAAATAACAAAATGGTAGGTAATACAACTGTAATGCACATAAATAATGGAGATCCACTCTATGTTCTGAAAACCAAATCCTAAGTGCAAGAGAAAAAAGAATACAAAAACCAAACAAAATAATCTGAGATTAAAAACCCTCACTCTGTTTCTTTGTATATAGTTGATGCGCTTGATCCGCTAGTTGTTGTTGTACTATAGGGATTTATTATTACCAGATATATACATACCTGGTGAAATGTAACCAAGTGGGGAAGATGCACATATTATGTGTAAAGTTAATTGAACGTATGGGGTTCAAATCTCCCCCCGTTTATGTATTTTTTTAATTTTTTGTGCATCTGGAATACTTTTTTTCAAATTTATATTATTTTTCACACTTTTTTTGGGAAAATTGGGACAGCTGATTAAAGACATTCTAAAATCTGCAGTTACTTCTCCAATCCATCTACCAAACAACACAGGCTTCAAGAAGCAAGCTTATCAGTCGGGCTTACATGCCTTCCGGGCTGCTTTTTGCTGGGCCTAGTCCACAACAATCCGCACAATTTGACACTGTCAGTTGCGACCTAAAACTATATAAATAAATAACGTTCTAAAACCTACATGTTACTTCTGATGGGCACCAAATTCGAGGATGACCGAGATACATGTAATATTGTCAAGGTGTGAAAGTTTGAGGTTAAACGGTTCAGTAGTTTTTGTGTTACGCTCCCAGAAGTACAAACACACAGACAGACAGATGGAGCTCACTGCAATACAAATGAGGCTTGCCATCCCAAAACCAGCATCAGTGACCAAAAAATAAAAATTTACTTTTTAATATTTTCTTATTCCCTACATTATAAGCTTTAAAACTTACTGGAATCGACTTAATATTGCCACAGTTGAGTAAAAGTATTATGGCTTCTCTATAGAAAGTATAAAAAACTGCTACATTCTTATGCTAATTACTCAGCTTAAAATATAGCAAGATTATGCTGGTTTTGGGATGGCATGCCTCAAATAACAAGTAGAGTATCACCATTGTCATGCTTATATATTGTTTGCAGGTGTATTCTTTGCAAAGAAGCAGAGAACATAGACAGGTAGAGGAGAATTGACAACAATCTCACCTGGTGGTTCTGTTAGATGGATCTGCATAACAGTGATAAGAGAAGCATCGAGGTAATCGGTCTCCGCTTCCTTTGTGTAAAGTGTCTCAACAGGGAATGCACGACCAGGAATTGTAAAAATTGGCTGAAAATAAACAGAAAGGAAATTTATTTTAATTTATTCACCAAATCAACAGCACACTTTCTTGACTGTCACTCACAGATTGGGATAAAATATCCTTAAAACAAAACATATAAGACTGAAAAAGTTTGGGTTGCCCAGCCAGACAACCAAAAATCTAGGGTCAGCTATAATCTGTATTCTTGTCCATTTCATTGTAATGCACATTTGAACATATTTTAATGCTTTAATTAATTTTAATTTTTTTATAATTTTAATTTTATTTACTTTTATTTCTTATTTTTAGAAAAGTATATTTTTTAACAAAGGCAGGCAAAAAGTACTTATGATGTTCAAAAAGGCAATTTTTAAAGTTTTTGTTGGACCTTAGCAAAAATATCAAAGAGGAGGAGCTGAGCTGGAAGGTCCATTCTGAAAAACCCTGAGTTTCAAGCTAAATAAAATTAACCAGAACTTACGGCTTCGAAGAAATATTGCGAAAATTTTACAGCGTCCAATGTGGCAGAGGTTACAATGAGTTTCATGTCAGGACGTTTCTTAATGGCTTTCTTCAAGAGACCAAAAAGAACGTCCGTATGAATGGTCCGTTCATGGGCCTCATCCAACATGATGATAGAATACTGGGAGAGATCCGCATCAATGAGGCATTCTCGGAGCAACATTCCCTCTGTCATGTACTTGATCTTGGTTTCTGGGGAGGTGCAATCTTCAAAACGGATCGTGTAACCAACCTACATAAAAATTTGGAAATGATCAGTATCCCAACAAGAGCAATAAGCAATCTTGTAGTTCTCGAAGGTCAAGATATATAAACCATAGAGAATATAGTATTGTCTGAAATCTTTTGGTACAAACAGACAAAAAGTGTAACCCATCCAAAATCACACAAATAAAAAGTGATGTTGTTGGTCTATGAGTAAGATACTTACCTGGATGAACCGATATAAGCCATAGTCCTAATGAAACTTACCAGCAAAACTAATGGAATCGTCTATCCCAGGCGTATATGACACATCAACATTACGTAACAAGCCTAAAAATTTCCTTTTACTGTGAGTGAGTAGAGAGCTTATATCGGTTTATCCGGGTTAGTATTAGACAATAAAACTCCATAAAACACAGATAATATATAAACTATATTTGTTTCTATGTGCCTGACCTGATTTGATGATGATAATGAAACTTACTTCTTGTCCCAAACGACAACCAAATTCCTCTGACACTCTCTTAGCAATAGACATAGCAGCTACCCTACGAGGCTGGGTACAACCAATCTTCCCTGTAGTTACATAGCCTGCCTCAGCTAGGTACTGAGTCATCTGTGTTGTTTTACCTGAGCCAGTTTCTCCAATTACTACTAGAATTTGATTGCTTTCTACAGCCTACAAAAGAAGAATAAAGCACTTATAATATTGGATTTGGAATATAAATTTAATTAATAATTTTATCAATTTTTAGAGCAGAGCTGTAACTTGGTGGTCATCTGAAACAAAGACTGCTTCTGCTAGGCATTACTCTACGCCTACGTTGATGTGTAAGGATTTATGCATACTTAGTGACACTTAGTGCACATTTGTTATGGTTTATTCATGGTACAACAATCATTTGAAAAAAAAACTAGGCACTATGCATGCGATTTCCCTTAAAACATATAATTTCTTTAGGCACTGGTCATTTGAACACGTGAAAAATTTGACTGAAATTTTTATAGAAACCAGATATAATTAACAATATTTTACAGCACTTGATTTACAGAAATAAAAAAAACAAAACAAAAAAAAACTGATGCAAACAAATTATTATGAAATATTTAAAAAAATGTCAACTTACATGGACCAACTGATCCTTCAGCTTGTATATTGGCAGACTCTGACGCTGTTCAATAATCGACATCTTTGTCTTCCTTCCATAAGAGGCGTTTGTGCCACCAAACGCAACCTTCTTCCACTCTGGCATCTCTGGCGCTGGCATCACCATGTTCCTCACGTTCACAGCCAATGCTCGTTCACCTGGATGGAAAATACACCAGATTAAACTCACCATCCTCAGATAAACTGGATTTGTGGAAAGCAGGCCATACAAGTGTCTCTGGGGTTAGAAATTTTGAAATAGACCATATAACTTAGTGTATGTGTGTTATGCTGAGAGTCTGGTGGAGAGGTAATGTTTCTCTTTCTTGTACTGAAGATCCCAGTTCAAACCTAGCCAGCGTTGGGTTTCAACTGGAGTCTGTTCGGCTCCTTGAGTAACGCTTGCACGAAAATTAGGCAGGATAAGTGACAATGCAACTGTTACAATGTCGTTACTGGCACAGCACTTCTGATTTTCCACAGTGACAGGTTAAATATCAATGTTAGGCAGGTTAAATATAAATGTATGTAACCATTTCTCCATGTCAGTTGGTGTTGCACTGGGGTAATGTGCCAGGCAAAAATTTCCACATTCAAATTTCAAAAACAATTAATTTATTTAATTTATTTTATTACAAAAATAAAAAAATTATTTATTTTAATGCAGTTACTTCATTTACTACTATTTCTACTTCGTAAAAATACAATTATGAAAAGTGAAAAGTAACTTACTATTTGGCATAGGATCCACCCAGTTCTTGTTCATGCCTGTTGGTAAGTTTTCCGCCTCCGCCCTTTCCTGGGCAATCTTCACTTCTCGCCTTTCTTTCGACAGTGCACTCTGCATCATAGCAGCCTTAGACAGGGTTCCATCTGGATTCTGCAATTAACACAAAAGTTTTACAATTTCAACAGGTCATTTATTTAATTTTGTTTTCTTTTATTTCTTTTGTTTCAGTTATTATGTTAGTTTTAATTATTATTTAATTAATTTTTTTCTTTTTTCAATAATTTTTCAATGTCTTTAAAATGTCCTTAGATCAATTTTATAAATTTAGTTATTTTTCTGTTTCTCTAATGTGTCTTTTATTTTCATTTCGTTAATTATTATTTTTTTATTACCTTCACAATCCTGACAGGACTGAGTTCCATGCTTTGGCGACCATGTCCCCGTAGAAATGGTGGTTCTTCCTCCACCAATTCGATCTCAACATCTTCGTCGGACTCATCTCCATCTTTAGTAAGGATGCCTGTCTCCTCATCATAGTTTGGAAGCTCCGTTATCAGAATACACTTGGCCGATCTCATCTACAAAAAGTGTAAGAGAACAAACATATAATTTCCAAACAAATATATTCTTTGTTTATTCCGAAAAATTGTGTATTTTTGCTACTGTTTCTACACAAACATTTAGTAGCTTGTACTGTTGACTTCACATGTGTTGCACTGACAATGACGATACATTCAATTTTTCATCATGAATTTCATTTTAGTAGCAAGCAATGCAATCCAATGGAGCTCACTATATCTTCTTTTGTTCCTTTTTATACTGAAATTCCATTTTTCTTCATTGCACGTCATATTTTGTATAAAAATTCAGGGCAAATATATTGTTATTACTTGTGACAGCATGTTTGAGAACATAATTAAAGCACTTTCAACTAAACACAATTTATGTAATGATACCTAATATAATATAATAATATAATAATATGTTATTTGTCCTCAATCAACATGTTAAGCCACCTGACTTAACTGAATGGACATATACAAATAAAAACATGTTCCTTATCTCTCAATATGAAGGTTATTCAGGAGCCTAGTGAACAGAACCCGAGTCTTCAGCACAAGAAGCAGAAAGACTACCTCTTGGCCAACAGCTCAACTGTATATCTATGTACAGGTACATACATATGTGGCAAAGACAAGCCAAACCAGTCACTCGACGCAAAAACCAATTTTGAGTTATTAATACAGAGTTAAAGAGTAAAATAGGAGCTATACAATGGTAAAAAAATCTTTCAAATCCGAAATTTCCTTATGAAGTTACGAGCGTTTTAACATACAGCTGTTTAAAGAACAATATATGAGAAATCAGCCTTTAAAGTTTATGATTTCGTACATTTCTCATGCAGAAACTATCATCAAATCCTTAAAAATTGTTGTTTTAACCTCGAAAATGGGGAAAATAACAGCATAGCATGATGTATAGATAAAGCTTAGTTTAGTGCAATAAAATAGACTCTTTAAATTTGACATTCCAGCATGTTTTGGCCATTTTCTCTGAAACACGATTTGCGACGAGTGACTGGTTTGGCTTGTCTTTGCCACATGTTCATATCCATGTACATAAGTGTACATATATATATATTTATGTATTATCAGGTTAAATGATTTGTGAGCAAAAAGCAAATCAATTAGTAGAAATTTAGTGGAAATCAATAAGTAATCAACCATACCTGTTGCAACTCCCACTTTTCTGGTGATGTCATACGTTGCACTCGCTTCCGTATGCCATCATCTTCTATCTCGGGTACGTGCAAGAGTGGCATGTTGGATGGCCGATCAGGATTTCTTAATGACTCCTCTGACCTGGAGGTATCTTCTAGAGCATTACGGCGCCCTCTAGGGTTCAGATCTTCACCAGTCTCCTGGTTCACATCTTTCATAGAAAGACTGATTTTAGTCCCTGATATGCTAATGATCTTCACCTTTACTATCTGACCTTTGGCAACAACTTCACTGACATCTGACACTCGACCCTCCCTTCGTAACTAAGAGTAAAGGGATGAACATTATTTTTATTTCATACTTTTAATAGCTTCAGTTGCAACATTACTAGTCACAAGACGTACAGAATAAGTACAAAAAAAAAATTGTATACAAACTGCAGAAATTAATGTTGCATGTTGCTCTTTTGGCGTTCCATATAAAAACTACAAATGGAATGCGGAAATACACCAATTTGCTCCAGTAAACGGCAAGTGACAGTGAAAATGTCCGTAAAATTCATTATTTTTCCCCCAAATAAGCTGAAATATGGCATCATATTCACTTCATGAGCTGGAGACTTTGAAGATCTACTGTATGTTGTTAGAGTTTCCCATGTTCTGTTCTGAATTAATACCCAACGTTATCTGACACACTGGGTTACATTACTGTGACTTTAGGCTTTGATATAATATAAGCACAATTAATAATATAGATACTGATACAAATATTAAATTTCACTTGGATACTTTTTTATGTAACTTTTATCTTTGCAATTTTTGACATCGTCTGTTCATTTTTAATGTTTCCAATGAAATTTTTAATATTTAATGCTTCAATTGCACTGTTTTTTAATAATTTATAAATTTTTAATTGCCAATTTTCTATTTTTATAATTCAGCACATGCTGCAATAGACTGTTTTGTATGTGAGTTTTTCATGCAGTATAAATATACCCAAATACGGAATATTCATTATGTAATTTTTGAATAAAGTTCAAACATTATAATACCTCTGATATATGCACAAGTCCTTCGCATCTTCTCCTTAATCCTTCAAGTTGTACAAAGCATCCATACACCATAACACTGGTCACTTTACCATTATACACTTCTCCAACTTCTGGGTCCATAGGTGGTGGCTTACTCACAAACCGGTCATCATACTTTTTGCTACCACCCCCTCTGCTAGAATCCCTGTCTTTGTGCCTGCGTGAGTTATCATAATCCCTCGTCCTCTCGCGGCTTCTACTCCTATCTCGGCTTCTACTCCTTCTCCTCCTCTCTTTGCTGCGACTTCGCTCTCTTCGTCTCTCCCTACTTGAGGAACGAGACCTTCTCCTGCTTTTTTTCTCTCGTTTCCCCTTGTTTTTATGTTTATCCTTTTCTTTTTCTTTACTCTTACTTCTACTTCTTTTATCTCTTTTACTTGATACTTTTCTAATAAGACAAATAATTCAACATAATAATAGTAACAATGTTGGCTTATGGAAATTATTAAAAAAAATACTAACAAATTTTCACTACTAATTCTTCTATGATGTACTTGATTAACTGTTCTCAGAAAATAAAACACTTGTTAAACTCTGTGCCAAAAATATGGGCTTACAAATAATGAAGAACCCTTATGTTAATAGTTAAAAAAATCTGCTTTTAAATTATATATAAATCATTGCTTCTGAAGAAAAACACTTACTCATTAGGTACAATCCCTTTTGGAATCAATGCCTCAAGTTCACTCATTAAGGAATTTGCAACATCAACATCTTTGGCTTGAATAACCTATGAGATTAATAAATAATTCTAAAGTACACTTCTTTTAAAATACATTTGTATAATATACAACTCAAAATTATTTTATCTTTATAGATTAGTTAGATTATTGGCAAAATAATTAATAATATCATCATACAAGTTAATTAATTTTGCAAGGTCTTTTCTACTATATTCAGATTTAAACTACAATAACTTCTTCAGATTCAGACTTGGATTTATTGATCCTTATGGAAACATAAAAATTAAAATATATATTATTAAAATATTAATAACAAACATTTAGCTTTATAAAGATTTGAAAAATATGAACATATTAGTAGTGTATATTAATTAATAACATAATAAAACTATGTTAAGTTTAAGCTCTACATAGCTAAATACATGATGACATTCAATAGTTCATTAAATGCATAATGTAAGCAACACATGATTTCAATATGTTCTTTTAAATTATGAGTTTCAAGACACTTGTATAACCTTTAATTTAATACTATTAATATTAAACATTAGTTGAGCCTTCGAAAATATTAGTATTATTTCTGTGATATTCAACATTTTAAGACACTACACTATGACACAACTTACAGGCTTTTTCTCCTCGTCTGGAAGACAGAGGCCAGGAAAAGCCTCCTTCTTTTTGTCTAACTTTGTTTTCTCCTTTACCACCTGAACGGTAGATGAAGTACTTGGTACAGATTTTGGTTTCATGTGTTGTATCAAACGGAGAAGGTTTCTGACAAAGGATTCTTGCACCTCAACTCCATTCTCCTCGAGGGCTCCTTGGAATGATTGCACTGTGTCATTCTTTTCAGCAAGATCAATCAGGAACTCAGCTGTAAGGAAAAATAATATTATAGTATTTAAACATTACACAGTACATGCATGCCTCACAAGTAAACACCAATTATTTCTCTTTCATACATTTCTAAATTACAAACTTATTCAAAAGTTTGTATCTCATTAACCGTTCCCGATTTCTTTGTCAAACACTCTTTTTGTGTCTTAGAAAAAAAAGTCAGTTGTACAGCAAAACAATTTTTTTTTTTAAATTGGTAAAAACGATGAAAATAATACAGTATCCAATTTGTTTTGTCTTGTATTTATGTTATGTGGCTATTGGTCCCTGATGGCATTTCCAGCAATAAAAAAAAGTTAAATTGAATAAATTAAATATAAAACTTAACAACATACGAAGAGACATGATACAGTGGACATAAAAATAGGTTTGACATGAATGAAATCAGACTATTATAAATACAGGGGTGGATTGCTATAAAACAGTCTTAACTGGTAGTCTTAACTCCTCGAATAAAGCCAGCTTTATCACTTAGACGGTCTTACTAAAGTCATCTCTTAGAGACCATTGCTATAAAACAGTCTTCCCTAAGACCGCTTTGAGTATTGAGCAGTGTGTGCTGCTGAAAACAAGCACTCCCTGGTAACGTGAGATTAAGGGGGATGTCATGCGTGCTCGAAATGTATCGAAATGAACGTAAATAAACGCTGCAGACTTATTTTTACAGACGCTGAGAAATGTGCGGAGTATTCGTCGTTCGATTCTCCGACTTTGACGATCTAGGCCTAGGTCTTGCCATTGCACTGTTGAATTAATCAGCAGAACGCCATGATGAAAATGATTTAAGACCGTTTTAAGCCTCTTCCGAGTAGGCTTTAAAATCTAAGACGGCTAACTGGTTAGACCGCGGTATAGCAATAGTCAATTATCATAGACCAGCAGTGATGCCACAATTATAGCCGGCTAACTGTTAAGACTGTCTAAAGTCCGCTTATAGAAATCCGCCCCAGATCATTAACCTACTGAATTTATAGAAAAGTGATGAAATTTCCTACCAAGATCTTTGTCATTAACACCAAGATGATTCTCTATTTCAGTGCAGACTTTTGATACCAGCGACAAGTGCTCAAGCTTGCGGAGTTCATCCATTCTTATTTCTATGTGTAACAGCCTACAACCAAGATTCACTGGCCGATGATGACTTCTGTTGACTTGTTTGATGCTTAGTACATGCTGACAACACAATGAGGTTTGATTAAACAGATGGGATGCTACAATCACTTATTCTATAAGAAAATTGCATTCAGGTGTGAGTTTACAATTTAGAGAATTATGATGAATAGGCCTAGGCCGGTGTAGGGTCGTTTCAGCCCTGAGTCGATTCGGCCCTGAGTTGGTATTTTTGTATGGAGTACCGAAGGTGCGGCTGCGAATAATACTTTAATAGAACAAGGTGGCTAAGCAGTATACCAGTATATACAACATTATCAGATCATTTAGAAATTAATAATATAATTGTACTGTCTTGTACACTTGACTTTTCACTACTGGGAACTGCAAGAAAAAAGAACATTGTTTTTGAATAAACATACTGTAAAATTATATTCAAACTAATTAAAATTTCTGAAACAATAACAATCGTAAAACATAAATAATAATCATACTGAAAATACAAAAAAAGAAAAAGTATTATGTATAGTCAAGGATCGTAAAAGAAGACAGAGTAAATCATACTAAAACACACAAAAAAAAGCTTTTTAAAAATATAGAACCCAAATTAATCACAGTGCGTACTTGGCGCTTCATACTGCGGCCGTTAATTGCAATCGAAATGCTTAGAAACAATAGGGTGTGATCACTTCTGACCCGGGTCGTTTCGGCCTTCTAACCCTGGTCATTTCGGCCTTCTAACCCGGGTTGTTTCGGCCCAAAAAGGGGCGGCAACGACCCAGCTGAATCGACTCAGGGCCGAAACGACTCGGATTCGCCTAGAATTTCTTTCCATTTTGTCACTATTTAGATCTGATGAACGAAACATCACTACATCACCGTCCTGGTCCTTATGGCTGCAGCAGATAATTCGGCTAGGCCTACCTAAGCCTACAGCTAGAAAGGTAGCAGGCCCCAGCCGAACACCCCCTAAGCAGGCTAGGGTAGGCTAGCCTACAAGCTTGGCCCTGGGTAGGCCTAGGCTAGGCCTATCATAGTATCATGGCTATGCCTAGCGGATGACTTTTAGTAAAGTAAAGACACTGACCTGGGCCTAGCCTAGCTATATAAAGTCAAACAAAAAGTAAAGTAAGTGCCAGAGAAAACTAAGCATAATATATATACTTACTATAACAACAAATAAAAACGATATACACCTATTAGGCTAAGTCTACAAATTCCTTTAATAACACAAAACCGATTCCATCACAACATTCACGCTTTTATCGTTTCTGTAACGTTTGCACTTTAGTGCTCCAGTGTGTGCTACCAACTACTATAGAGGGCGGTAATCAATTGCCATCAAGGTGCACGATGCATGATGACTGATGATGACTACTTACCATCCCCACATCATTAGAATTAGAATTTAACTTTTGAAGTAATGTTGAGGCCTTGTTCTACTTTACTACGATCTGCTCGAAACAATTTAAATTTTATATTTTCAAAAACCTACTTTACATCGAATAGGTAAGCAAATATAGCTGGTTTAACATCAATCCGAAGTTCGTCGCTGTCTTGGCTAGCCCACCATAACATAGGCTAGCATCGGGTGACAGACGATCATGCCCATGGGACGGAAGGTTCAGTCGGAACCATTGGGCCAATTTTTGGTTGATTGGACCCAACTGGTGCTGACGATTTGGTCCAGGATGATCAAGACAGTCGGGCCCACTTTGTAGAAGGTGGGACTATATTTCCCACGCAAACTTATTTTACAGTATTGATTGGTATTGATAATTCTTGTCATGAAAACAGATATAATATCATTCAAAAGGAAATGTTTTTATCCAATTTTGTTTTCTATTTATTTTCTTCATAGATTCTGGGGTCTCAAGTCGTCTGTGAGTTGTGTGGAAGTGTCCCCGGAAATTGGGGCAATCTCCCACTTTATCATGAACATGCAAAAATCTCCAATTTCTGCTAATTTGCTATATTCATGATGTTTTAAACTCATTTAACCAGGTCTTCAGAAGAAGGTGGAATTTTATTAAATATAAACTGAAATTTACTGTCCATATTATTTCTATTCTAGAGCCTATGCTAATTTTAGGTCGATGACAGAAATTAACAGGATACAAGAATCTTACCTTCAGGAACCATGTATTTTGGTAGATAATGATGACAACATCATTGGTTCAGGTTCTAAGAAACAGTGTCACTTAATTGACAAGGGCAATAATAAATGTAAGTAGAATAATATGAGTATGGGATATATATGACCACATGGTAATACAAACAACAAACCTCTTTCCATTGTCTTTTAGAGATTAGTAAATAGCATACATTACTCTATTTTTACAATCCCTTTCCTTATAGAACAACCTCGCCATATCTTGCAGGCAAATTCTATCAACCTTCATTTTCTGTAATAAACACTTGAGTCTTAGTAATTTTTTTAGAAAAATTAAATTACCAAAGAGTAATTTAACAGCAGATAGTTAATAATATTACGAAACAGAATCCTTCATAAGTAAAGACTATAATTATGTGGTATTAAAACCTTTGTATGTAAAGAGATTGTAGATGATTGTAATGTTTAATTACAGTATGTCACCTTTACAGCCCCAAAACATATATTAATTTAGTACCACTGCCATCACCAAACTTCACTAAATCTTTAGTGGAACCATATGATATTGCAAACATTTAAAAAAAATCAAGAGATATATAAATAATTTTATTTGTCTGAAATTAAAAGTATTTCTGTATGTATTTCAGGTCCTCTTCACAGGGCATTTAGTGTGTTTCTTTTTAACCAATCAGGAGAGTTGTTAATTCAACAAAGGTCAGATGCAAAGATAACATTCCCAGGTAAATCATAGTTATTCTAGTAAAACCAATTGTACAAGTTATCTTATACAGTATAAGCAAGTCAATTATTATTGGAAACTATTTCAATTGGTTTTAATTAAATGTGAGTTATAAAATATTTTGAATTATGGTGGATTTTGTTAATGTGTAGAGTGATAATGAATACCAGGTTAAGTATTATAGCTATTGTTATATTATGGTAATTATTATTACTGTATTATAATAATGAATATTATTATATGTGCAGGTTTCTGGGCTAACACATGCTGCAGTCACCCACTGAGTAAACCTGAGGAACTAGAGGTAGAGGGAGCTATTGGGGTCAAAAGGGCAGCTCAGCGTAAGCTGAAACATGAACTTGGAATTGAAAAAGTACAGGTAAGTGGAAGTGGAGTGGAATTGAGTGGAATTCCATAACCATTACCTACAAGGATGGATGTCCTGATACCAAAAGCACCCCGTTCACTTAAAAAATTATGTGGAAAATAGCACAGCCGTCCTGAGGCAAAACAACGTAACTGACATTTTTGTCGATTTTGAGATAATATCATTTGGGAGTATATTAAACACGTCTGAATTTCAAGTCTCAACAATGAATTGTTTCGGAGATAGCACCACATAAAGTGATTTTCCGTGGTAAAACAAGGTAACTACAAGATTACGGGGAAAAAAAATGTATCTACGATGAAGATACATTGTTTTGCCTTGGCATGGTATTCAAAAATTGTTTTGAGCTGATGGAGTTTGGCAAGGCGAAATCAACTGGTTATCGGTGTTTCCATATCAATAATCTTAACAGCTACATATGAACAAGCTAAATAATGCATATGATTGCCCCAAACATGATAAATTCCAAAAATATGTTGCATTTGCAACAACACCGAGCTTGACATGTTTCCGAGGCAAAACAACGTATCTGTGAATTTCGCTAATAACTTTGCAATCAACAAACGGTTGTAATTAAAACTTTACATATAATCGCAATGTCTATTGATAATTATACAATCCTGCAAAATTTGAAAACTGTACGACAATGTATTACCAAGTTGCAAATATGCAAACATTAACTCTTATTTTTCTTAAGTGAAAATTTCTTTCAAGTTATGTTGTTTTGCCATGGAGTTGAGGCCTACATATGCACAAGTCTGACCTAAACTGATCATTGATGAAGGACAGCATTAGAAACTGTTGTACATGGTGTTTAGAGTATTCAAAACAGATTTTCACTTATATACCTAACTGAAGACAATATCAATGAAGTGCCAACATTTTGCTAGTGTGCTCAGGGGCGAATTTTGGGTGGGAGGGGCCCTCCCTTTTGGAAATTTAAAAACAAAATTTAAAAAAAAGAAAGAATGAAAAAGAAAAACTTGATCCCCCAAAACGCCTCACAGGTTATTTTTGGGCATCTAGAAAATTTTCGCGGGGGAATATTCCCAGACCCCCTATGGTGGTGTTACTTTCGGACATTTCTGGATCCGCCCCTAGTGCTGTATATGAACTTAACAATGTTAATATAAATATTAATACTACTTCATAACCAGATTGGAATTTATTATTTTTGTACAGGTGCCATTAGAGGATATTCACTTTATTACAAGAGTCCATTACAGTGCCCCCTATAATGAGACCTGGGGTGAACATGAGATCGACTACATCCTGTTTACTCAAAGAGAAGTTAGCCTCCAACCAGAACCAAATGAAGTACAGAACTACAAATACGTTACTCCAGAGCAAATGAAAGAATTTTTGGCGAATGCTGATAAAACTAGCACAAAAATATCACCTTGGTTACAGTTAATTGCAAAGTCGCATTTATTTGACTGGTGGAAAAATCTTGACAACTTAAAGTCTCTCTATAATCATCGCACAATCTTACGACTTTAAAATGTAATTGAACTGAAAAAGGTCAATGAACTATGTGACAGTTTTCTTTGACTATGCACAACATAGTATTTAAAATATATGATTATGTTTATATTTTCAGTTACATAAATCTTATTTATTCTTGGTCGGTACTTTCTACTATTAATCCAGATCTTTCATTATAACACATTCATTTCAATATTTCAATCCAACAATATGTCTTTTTTCAAAAATTAACAGCCATCTTATTTTTTCTGTAATATCTGTAATTCACCTCCACAAACACAATACAAGACAATACTGTACCAGTTTTTGCATCATTTTGACATTTATTGTCATTGTCACTTCATATAAGCAAGTAGGTACCAATTTACAGTTTAGTCGATTGTACCTTGTTGTGTACCAAATTATTTGTATTGAATAACAGATTGTTCATAAACATGCAGTACTGTATATCGCATACAATATTATGTATCCCACACACAATTTTTGATCATATGACAGACCCATTTTCTTAATTTTATTTTTCCAACCATGATACCACATACAATTTTACAACATAACTCACTACAAAGCTAAGCATGATTCAACAGACCCATCTTCTAAGTTAATTTAAGAACCAATTTTCCGCAAGCAATTTTGCAACATATCTCACTACGAAGCTATTCATGATTTACAAAACTCATCTAAGTTAATTTATCAACCATAATATCGCATATAATTTTACCCCATATCTCGCTAAAAAGCTATGCATTACTCAACAGACCCATCTTTGAAGTTAACTTATCTTAGCTACCATATCACATACAATTTTACAATAAACAGATTTATACTCTCAGTTTCTTATTAATTGTGGTATTGAATACAACAATGTATCTCGCTATAAAGCTATTGATGATTTTTACAAATCCACCTTGGGCTAATTAATTATATTGAGCTAAATTTGTAACATTTTATTGATCACTGTGTCTCCACCAATTATTTGTTAATACTTTGTTCATTTATAAAAACAAAACACATCATAATAGAAAATAAAAAAGAATTATATGATAAAACAGATACAAATCAAGGTGAACGTAGATTGACGGCTGCCAAGGCGTAAAAGGTTTTGCATGATATATTCCTTCCACTTCTTGGCGGCTCTGTAGCTAGTCAAATCAGCTGCAAACAAATTGCATATCACAATACTATACTTATAAAAATGCAATATATGGAATGTGCATATAATATACATTACTATTTACAATACTACTTTACATTTTATATAACCATTTAAACTAAACACGGGTATAAGGTATATATAGTTTTGAAAGCACAAAATTTGCCTACTTATAGTATGCCACAGCAATGTCATATTTGAATTAATATATAAAACTATAAAAATTATTTAAATATTTGCAGTTTCAAGGTTGTTGTACCCAGAACCACAAAACTGGTACAATGTTTCCAAATTGTGGCATCCTGGTAAAATAAATAGATAAATAAAAAAAGAAATAACAGACCCTACTGTTTTATTAAACATGCTTTAAAATGATATTTACATACCAGCTAGGCAAGATACTGATCATCACAAAATGTTTCTGTCCTAGTTTACCTGTTTTGCATCCCTAAACACCCCTCCTTATCCTCCACTGAAAGACGTAAATGAAATATATTTTAGTGTTGCCATAAGAAATCTTGCAGTTTTACCACACGATAGCCAAAGAAACAAAATAATGCCAAGACAAAAAATAAAACATATACTCTACTATTTTGCCATGCAAAATACTGGTCTTTGCCAAACTTTTTTCCCTCATTTCTACCTGTTTGATCCCTAATCACCCCTCCTAATCCATCAACTAAAAAAAACTTAAAGGAAATGTATTCTGGTGTTGCCATCAAATCTTGCGATTCTACCACAAAACAGTTAAGAAGCTAAACCAAGATCAAAAACTATTTTAAAAAACTTAGGCTACACCTAACGACAGTATATTAATTTAATTACAAGAACTTAGTAATTACTAGAACAATATAATTAATTACAAGAACAGAATTAATTACAAGAACAATAGATCGTTCATTTTTTCCACGAAAAAACAATGTACAGTATAAGCACTGAGAATTAATTGTAATTTGCGCTATACAAAAACAGATTATTATTATTTATAAACCTGCTAAGGTTTCCTTATCAAGTAAGATATCTCAGCTGAACTGATATGCCAAATTTCACATTGCTGAATTTATATATTTTATATATATATATATATATATATATATACATATATATATATATATATATACACATTTAAGGATGTATTGCCACAAAGAGAGTAGCTTAACTCAGTTGGCTAAACTGGTGGTAGCCACTGTGTGAGCACTAGACCATGGAAATCTTTACATAACCTTGGGCCCTGGTTCAACACACACCTGTTGTCGCAAAACGCACATTTTTATGTACGTTTACATTGTCATTCTGCGGGACATTAGCAGTAATATCGTGGGGGGGGTAGGGGCACTCACTGGAACAGTCCATCACAAGTCAGGCCTTGCTTTCACCACTTTTGTATCACCTGCCTTTTTAGCCCTTTCATCCTTGAGCGGAACAATGATCTCAATGCTGGTTGAGTCAGGCATCCTCCGTTGATTGCCAGCTTTCCCATTGGTTTGTTTGCGGCCTAGAGCAGGTGCTGATGCCGACCTTGGATTAATCTTCCTCCTACTTGTCTTTTGTACCAAACTCATAGTTGTCTGTGGTCTTGCAAGTTTACCTGTAAAAGAAAAACTGGAAATATTAAGACAGTGTTGTGAAAGGAATTTTCCTCAAGTGGAAAAACCACAAATAACCAGTGATGGATTTATGAGAATGTTATGACTCTCCTTTAGAATGCCAAAATTGTATAAAAAAAAAATCATCATAATTTAAGCATTGTGGCAACCAACACAAAACACAACACAACACACTGCAGCATAAGACATCTTGGCATTGTAGAAAATGCCTAGGATTTAATGTTTACTTAGATTTGAGATTTTTCTTCATACTCATTCACTTTAAAGATTTTACCAATTAAATACATAAATTGTAATTAAGAAAATGACACAAACCTGTTCGTGGTCTTGGTGGTGGCACAGCCGGTGGACCGCCATGGATTTCCAAACTATAATAATAAAAATTATTATTCATTAAAAACTGTTAATTGCAAAAGAAAGATTTATATTTTTTTACAGTTGTTGTAGCTCAATCACATGCCACATTATTATGGATTCTGTTGCTATAACAATTACAACATTTGTAAATGGACCATTCCGCTAAGCAACACGTCCCCCTGGATATTGTTATTAAGGTCTCACAAAAACAGCAGCATAAACGTAAGTAAACACATATGCGTTTGTAGGACAACATGTATGTTAGTCGGACAAGCACATTCCTTGCTCTGTTCTGATTGATCATTTTTTTAAGTATGATCGACACTACAGGTCTGTTATGCGTTTGTAGGACAACATGTATGTTTGTTGGACAAGCAAATTCCTTGCTCTGTTCTGATTGATCATTTTTTAAGTATGATCGACACTAACAGGTTTGTTAAGTGCTGTCTTTAGAAAACCTTAAGCACAACCCTGTTTATTGAAAAATATAACCATTATACACTTACACCAGATGCACTATACCCAAGAACAAAATGTGTATATTAAGTGTAGGATTTAAACTGTTAACCACTAGGTTGAAAAAGCTCTACGAGCCAATTGCCAACTTTCAAAGATGGTGTGACATGAATTGGTGTAAAGTAAATTCCTCTGAATCAACCAACTGCACAGCGCTAAAAATGCATACTCAGTGCTACTACTTCCTTATACAGTGCAGTAATTTATTCAAACCTTGCAAAAGAACAATGCATAATTTCATTGAAAACTGACCTGTTAGGAAATGACTATATTATTATTGATATGGAGTATTACTGTACTTAATACAGGTGAGCTTTGACAAATCAGTAACACTAATAGCAACAAATATGTACACTGAATAGGGTATTAGCAAAGTTTAAATATAAAAGTAACTTCACCCTCCAATTTGAAACCCCTCTAATTCAAGACCACATTTTTAAAGACCCAAATAACAACCGTCAATCTTTTAATACAAAGCTAACCCTCTAATTTGAAACTAAATCCTGAGACCACCCCAAATTTTCAGGTCCCGAATTGGTCTTGAATTCGAGGGCGAACTGTATTGAATTTGGAAACAAACCTGAATGCGGGAAGACCAACAGTTTTTGCAATTCTAAATTCATCCGTGAAATCAGTAGATATCTTTCCATCAGGCGCTAGATTGTTCATCAACTGCTCAAATAATCCTGGTCGATTGCGACAAGCAACCAGAAGAATGCGAGTAGCTTTGCGGTTAAATGTCAGATAGCCAAGGGCAACGGCTACAGCCGACCGCACTTCTATGTTGGCAGAATGAAGGTGACCAATGAGGACATCCACCGCGCCAGAGGTAATCATTGCATCCGTGATTCCTGCTCTTGTATGCGCTAGGCTAGCAAGAAGACTTCCTAAAAATGGTATAAAGTTAAAGTGTGTAAGTATTGATAACAATCAAATATGAAGCAAAAAAAAAAGTTTGTGTTGATCAAGTCCAACCGACCTAAACTGGGGCAGATGTAGGGGAATGCAGATCGTGCGATTGCACCCCAATAGGTACGTATTAAGAAAAATAACTGTTGTATTGTATTGTTGATATGAATTACTGTTAAGATTTTTAAGTTATGAGAGTACAACCAGGCAGCTAAATTAAGAGTTCCATATTCTCACAATTTTCACCCTCAGCCCCATCCATGGTGGAACTGAGGTCGTGTGGATTCTCTGTCAAATAAATATGTTGGTTAATCTGTAATTAATTAAATTGATACCTTAATCATAAATTGGTTAACAATTTACCAAGAAAAAAATTTTCAAATTCAGCCTTGAGCTGACCCCTAACCTAAGTCTCATTTTGAATTTTTAATTTTAAATAGCAATGGTGAAATACCTATGTTGGTTTTCAAATTAATTATTTAAATTTAATTATAATTAGTAATGTACTACTGTACCTGCAAGGATATTGGTATTATCATCTTCTGAAGCTAACAATCTGACGAGAGATGTGACACCAAGGGCTGACAGGGTCACCTGGTCTTCATCTACAATCACCCTTGCTAATACGACAATCTAGAATGAAAATATGTCAAGAAAAAATTATTTCATAATCATAACTTCACTAATTTCCTATAAAAATGCAGTTTGTCTGGAATACTCCCAAAACCGGAGTATAGATGGTTTTAGATTATGTATGATTGCCTAAGAGTCTACAGATTAGGAAAACGAAACATCATGAGTTCCAGTTTGTATGAAGAATATAAATACTGTAGTAAAACAAGACACTTGTCCATTCGTGCTGAACAAGTGTGCACGTCTGGAGAGTGATGAGTTACCCAAAGCGAATTCACCGGGCTGAGCATGTGCGACAAGACCTGTTCAACTGATTGAAAGTTTAGTATTTCAGTACTGTTTACAAAACACGACAGAAAGCAAATAACCCCATAGTAGATGTCAAGAAAGTTAATGATTATGATTATCTATGTCTAAATGAAAATTAAATGCAAACATAATTAATATACAAGATTTGAAAAAAAAAGTACCGAATTTACTAAAACATAGGCGAACAACTCCATTCACTGAATCGCACAAGTTTGTCTGGACCAGCCAGTCGGCCATTTTCAGCAATGACATTCTTTCTGTCTTTGATAACATTCCTGAATTGGCGGCGTACAAAGACTTGACCTGATTCTCTCAAGAGTATTGTGGGAACCTACTTGTGGGAACGTTTCTCATTCAATTTACTGTTACTAGGCAACTTGTAGCACTGCAATTAATGGTAAATGGTCAAATTTCCAGGACATTCAAGGACAACCTTAAATTTCCAGGACTTTCCAATTTGTTTTTCCAGGACATTCAGGGAATTTAAGGATGCGTACAAACCCTGATAGTAAATTAATGCTTGGAAAAAAGCTACAGAGATATCCAATAAATTTAAGATCTTTGAATAAATACCACAATTTTGGTATAGTTAAAAGTACCTGAAAGGCAGCATAAGACTGAAAGACCTCATTGGGCGAATCCAAAAACCTCCGGATGGTCGCCATGTGAATACCGCCGGCACTTCTAATACATAACTGTTGATTAGTGTTGTTGAATGCAAATGTTGATAGTGCTGTCCCAGCTTTGAGGCACACCACCTATACATAAAGAAAAAAGAGTGGCTTGGAGTTTTGATATCAAATAAAATTTAGTGTTATTATTACTGTATTCTAGTAAAGGGAACAATGGCAAAAAGTTATTTACACTCATTATATAATACCAAATATCACATTTTTATCAGTTAAGGAGTATTGTCTCCCTGTACAGCATAATGCATTTGGTCTTGCTAGTAACCCCACTATGTATGTGCTCACTGAACCACGAAGACCCTGATGTTACTGGCTCATTTCCATTGAGCTGCTGTCCCAGTGAAATACAGGTTATAGTGTACTAATGCTGGTTCTGTGTACACCAGGCCCCTATGCATAGTAAAGAACAAAGTACACTGTTCTGAAAACCTCTCTCCTGGTGTACTATCCAACACTCAAACAGTGGCAGCACTGCTCTGTGACTGCAGCATACCTATTTATAATATAATTTATAATTTATAATATAATTTGTAATAATAATAATTCTTTATTGCTCCACATTCAAACTCGAATCGGTAATTTGGCTGGGACCCGCGGCAGCCTCAGTGCAGCGACACATGTATACAATCATTGTCCTTAACCTGCCTAGCCAAGCGATCAGACCCCAATTAAAACCCGACGCTAGTCAGGTTTAAACTGTAGAATTCAGCACAAGAAGCAGGAACAACATCTCTCAGCGAACTGCTTTGACATAACCACTAGTGTTATGTCAAAATTTCACAGTTAGCCAGAACTAAAATTAGTTTTTTCCTTTTTGAATTTTTCTTTCTACTAGATTTCCTCTTCAGTAAAAGACTGCTGATCTCCTACTGGACTCAGTATGCAAAAAACATTAAATCACATAAAATTAACAAGAAAAGGCGGTATTTTAAGCGTTCAAGTCATCACTCGACTTGTGGGCCCAAAAATGTCCTATACTGTACTAGTAAAACACAAGTCTATACTAACCTGATCTTTTGACATTTGTAGTTGTAGTAACAGACGAATATTGAATGCTGGCTCTTCCTTTAACAAGGCTTCATTTTCCTTGTTGCCCAAGATGATGTATCCGAGTGTAATAGCAATCTCAACCTTGATCATGTCATTATGGGATGCCCTCAGTAGTTGCACAAGTGTCTGTATAGTGTGTTCCTCCGCTATTTTAGCTTGTGTGACTTTATTATTGCAGTGAGCAACACCTTTAAAGCAATATAAGTAAATTGAAGAACTTAACAACAGCTAAATAATTCTGTTTTTGCAGTAGGTTTTTGATGTAAATATTGTACTAATTCAGCTTTGGTTGTGATTGCAATATAGACAGATATTATGCTTCATACTGTTACAACAGAACTTCATCAGGCAATGACGATAGGTAGCTATTCGTTATCATGTAAAATGCAACAAACTCTGCTATAAACTCCTATAAACTTGCAACTGGTCAACCCATTGTTATTATTTCCCACAGCAATGCAAAGTTTAGGTCCCCTTGTCTCTGTTTATACTAATCTTTTCTAATGCACATGGATATGAATGTGTATTAAAGTGGTTGGCATGATTATATGAATAAAGTTGAGTGTGTGTTTGTCTCTGTTTCTGCATATTATTTTACTTTTTCAATAACATCAAGAGCACAAACCAATACAAAGTGTCCCCAGCGCTCTAATAACCGTCAGCAGTACTCGTTCAGAAGTCTTTGATGAGCGCAGAATGCGTACTAGTGGAAGGATTCCTTCTTCCTTCTTGAATTTCAGCTGATGAGCAATGCTAGCTCTCGTTAAAGCAATCATGGCCATACAACCTGAAAGAAATTCAGCAATAGGCTTATTAACATAGGAATCCATTATCAAGAATCATCATTTGATGGTGTATAGTTATATTCAACAGTTAAGCCTGGTTTCCTAAAAATTGCTACACACTATCTCCGACTCATTTGGCGATGCTGATTGGTCAGTTAAATCAGGGAGCTACGCAGTGCAAGGATTGTCACAGTGAAAATGCTGTAGCGACTGTGTGGCGATCGTATGGAAACCGAGCTTCAGCGGTCATGAAATGCGAGTTTTCTGGACATTCTTATTAAATACCTTATTTATTAAACACCCGCTTTGAATAAACGCCCTCATAAATAAACACCCCCTCTAGAGCCTTTTTTGGAATAATTCACCTTCCTCAAATAAACACCCCCAACCCACCATATGACTGTAAACAAATTCAATGGAAGCAACATCATAATTTAATAAAAGCAACATCATTCTCAACACATTTCTACTCCAGTAGAATTGTGGTTTGGATCAAGAAGTCTTATGATCACTCAATAACACATTTTGATGGTAAGTATGTGTTGCAGTTTACACTGAAATTAAGGGGAGTTTATTTGAGTATACGTATCCATTTTAGAAAAAAATAAATAACTCGAATAAATGCCTCCCTCGAATAAACACTTCTTCCAGAGCGTTTACTCGAATAAATATTGTATATAATATTTCTGTCTTCTAAAATTTTACACATTATGATCTGCTTCTAGCGAGTCAAAGTTCACATATCTAATCAGACATCCATCTGAATTTATTTTGTGAAGGAGAAAGAGAGGAAAGCAAAGCAATATACAATGTCATATGTTCTAAAGTTTACTTACCAACATACTGGAGCTTTTCAGACTTGACAATGAGATCGATAATTCCACTGATACCTATGCACTCTGCTATCATTCTCTGTTGAGGTGTTGTGTGACCAGCCAAAGCCCACAAGGTACATGCTGCCTGCTCCTTTACATCCAGTGCCCATATCTACAGAGGAACGATAATATTACTACTATAAATATATATTAAAATAGGCAAGCCAGCAAGTTGAGGGGCTGAGTGGTTGCTGCTGGGGTGCCATTACCCAGAGGCTTACATTCGGCATTGGTTTGAGACCCAGGGGCAGATTTAGGGGGTGGCCAATCCGGCCCCAGCCCTCCACAATCTAGGAAGTGAAAAAAAAGAAAGGACAAGAAATTATTGATTGCCCAAAACTCCTCGGAGTTGTCTAAAAAACAAAAATTTCCCCATCTTTGGATCCGCCCCTGAGACCCTCCTCACTCATGGTTCAGGTGTTGGAACAAGTCTTCTTGTATAAGTCTATGGACTGATATACAGGTTTAGTGGACACAAAATCTGTTGCACTTTAAAGAACTCCTGATATTTGATGTGTTCTGGTCCACACCCTGCTATGGACTACATGTACAGTATGTGTAGATTAGCAGCAAAAATGAGACCCTTTGGGGAGTAGAATGGTTAATGGTGATTGATCTAATGTATTTTCATATTGCAAAAGTTGGAGGAATGAGTTCATACAATCGCAATGGCCCAGGAGAGGATTTCATATAAAAGATCAAGAAACTAATATTGCACTCTACCTTCAGTAGCCTAATCAATGCAGTTTGAGCATTTAGTTTCAAAATGGCTGCCTGACTGTTGGAATTGTTCAGTGCCAGGGACTCAAGAGCTGCTGCAGCCTTCACTTGGACAGTCACATTTCTGCATTTCACGAGTTTTACCAGAGGCTCCACGACACCCTTGCTAACAGCTAGGTTTTGGTTGTCATAGTGACTGGCTGTCAAAGCAGCCAAGGCTGCCGCTGCTGCTGCTTGGAGAATATCTGAAAGGTTAAAGATCATCTTTGCGTTGCAGAACTTGTTGACAGTAGAGCAGAGAAATATGAAGGATAATGTTAGTAGAATAACACACAACTTGCAGCTTCATTGTGCTGAATTGCATATGGGTGGTCTGTGACTACCTGGCCACCGTGAAGAGGTGCATTCCACAACAGGGGTAACCCCATACTCTTCCGACAGATGCAATGGTTTGATCAAAGTGCACACGAGTCAGATGTGTACATTGGACCTCCATTTTAAGTCCTTATCCTGGGCGAGGAGCGTCTTGAACCAGCACCAATGTTAATGGCTGTTGTTAGCGGCGCCCTTGCCTTATTGCTCGGCCACGCGCCTCGCATGAAAATAGGACTAAGACAAAAAGAGTAGAAGATGTCATAAGAATTGAGCTGTTCTCATAACCATTGACATTCTTTAAAGTAGTTACTTATTAGAAAGTTTTTTGATTGATGATTTTAAATACAGTATTTAACTTACTTGAATTTGTCACTTGAAGAAATTCAACCAAGGGGTCAATTCCACCATTCTGCGCGACAAGTGTTTGATTGGTGGTGTGTTGTGTGCACAGAACACGTACACAATTAACCGCCTCCACTAACACATCCTCAAGATCCGCATCAAACAGTTTAATGATAGCTGGAATTCCATTGTCTTCACTTACTTTTGATTGGTTTTCATCAACACTGGCAAGATCCGAAAGAAGAATGGCACTCCTTGACTGAATATCGTCCAATGGGGAGCCAAGTAGTTTCACCAGGATAGGAATAGCATCGGCTCCCGCAATTGCTCTGCGGATATCTTCCAGATGGGAGATGTTGCAGAGAACAGCACCAGCTAATGACTGCATCTCATCAGAATTTAACCTCAGCAGGTTTACAAGAGCTGGAATGCCATCTGCAAAATATCAAGCAATAACCATAATAATAATTTTATTCTGCCAATTTAATTATAATTCTCCAAATAATCTGTTTTATGTACTAGTCCTTTTAAGTGCACTTGAGACAGATGCCAACACTATTTTTGAGTTTATATTGGGGAAGACTTGGTCCTATCAACAAAACCATGAACGAGGATGGACTTGAATCAGTGCCGTTGTTATGGCCATAGATTGTGGCACGCTTGCAATAATGTTCCACAACTTCCCTCATCCATTTTACATGAGTCTTCTTAACGACTAAATTCAAAACCATTTAGCGAATAAATTTACTTTTACTACACCTAGATGTGTATAAGAGACAGTATATATATATAGCACATTTCCTTTAGGTTACAAAGCGCTTTGTTTTTCCTGGTTATTGGGTCCTCATGCTTGAGTGTTGCACCCATATTGGCGCAGTAGCAGGCAAACCCACCAGGTAACCATTTGTACTCCTAGGTGGAGAGGAGCAAGGCAGATAAAGTGCTTTGCTCAAGGAACACAAGCAAAATGCACAGTGCGGCATTGAAAAACCAACCTCTAGGTTGAAAAACCGCTTGCACAAAAGTAAAAACTTAAGATATAAAAATGACTTTAAAAGAACTAATTCAAATGGATGATGGATTTAAACTATTGCCTTTACCTGCTTCAAGAATGGACTTGCCGTATGTATTGCAAGATGTTGTGAGAACTTCAAGTGATCGCACAGCACTGTCCATCTTCACAAAGTCGTTTGATGTCAACATTCCTAAATTAATAATTGTATTTTGTAACCAATGATAAACTGCAACAGCAGGTAGTAATCCGCACACTTCTGTTCACACCTACTACATATTCACCGAAACTCCAGGGTGGAGACAACAATAGGTAATGTGCCTCGACCAAGGACAAGCAAAAAGCAGAGTGAGATGCTCAAACCATAAACCACAGGAGTATGACCCCAAATCGCAATCACTGAGCCAACCACTGACACACAATACAGTACTCAAAATATGTTCTTACCCACTAGTGTCTTCCAAACAGGTGCATCTGGATGGTTCCAGTTGATGAAGTGCTCCAGGACATTGGTGTGGAATCGCAAAGCCGCCAGTTGTACCATGTTGTTTCCTTCGGTGTCACGCCGTTTGATATTAGCTCCCAACTGAATAAGAATCTTCACAGACTCAAGGGCACCACTGCTTGCTGCCAACAGCAGTGGCGTTTGACGTAGTCTGAAAAGTTGAAAAATTTGCATTTACTCACATTATATGTACAAGAAAAATAGTTTTAAGTTTATTTTTATATAAAATTCATCTGCACGTACTTATCGTAAGTTTGTAATTCTGTTTGATCTTCAAATTTGCGAATAATAAGTCTCATTATTGTGGCATGGTCAAAGAAGGCCGCATGATGTATGGCAGCCCAACCATCTGGATCCCCCATGGTTGTGTCCGCATGGTTACAAATCAAACATAAGGCGGCTTCAAGTGCTCCGCATCTTGAGGCTAAGTGTAAGGGAGTAGGGCCTAAAAATTCAATATAAATAGATATTGGTTAATGACAAATTATATATGCATATTTAAATTTATTTAATTTTTAAGCTCAGGGCCAAGGATATGCCAATACCAAACTTTAATCACTTTACTAAGTGGCAATCCCATTATGAGGCTTACTGAGTTGAGTTGTTTTATTCATGAGAAAAAATCCTGCGACAGATATTGAACCCAGGAACCTGGGATGGGAAGGCAAGCATCTTAACCACCAAGGTATTCAACTTCATTTAAATTTTAATGATACATGATTAATATAAACACAACATATTTTAGATGCATAATTATATATCTGTGCCTCGATGAAGTTTTCAAGCACATCATTCATAATAAAAATAGATGATTTTTGATGAGACTAAATTACATACAGTTGCAGCTAGTGAAATTGTACATGGTACAGATTTGTCTGCATTTCTTAGTAGAAATACGCCCCAATACTGGGAAGTTACAGGACTAGAAACTATAACACAGTACTATGGAACAGGATTAAAATCATACTACTATAGAATTATAGAAATTTCTTATCCATAATATTCAAGAGCATAGTTGCATTTTTGTTATTTATTTACCCATTTTATTTATTTATTCAATTACTTGTTAACTTCTTAATTATTTGTTTATTTGTTTATTAATTTATTCTTTATTCGTTTATATATTCATTCATCCATTCATTTGATTCTGGTATAACAGTATCAGCTAACAAACAATGACTGAAATGAAAAACAATAAATGTGAAAGAAACAAAATAAAAGCATAAGGGTTGAAAATGTTGAAAACTACTGCACTGAAGTATATCAAATTGAATCAATAACAAATCAAAGCATTAAAATAACTGTAAATGAAATGTAAAAGAAAGGAATTCACACAAAGATCTTGTTATATTATAAAACTTATATAATTAAACAAAACTTGTGCAATTGCACAGGGTCGTGTGAGTTTTTATTGGCTTACAGTTGCAAAGTATCTCTTGTTCAAAAAAATTTCCAGTGGTGGTGGTGCTGATTATTTATTGGGAGGGTGAGGGAAGGGAAAGAATGACATTGATCTATGCCACAGCAACTAGTTTTTCAAAAAAAGGAATTTGTTTTCTAGTGAAACAAATCATAAATAATGACATCATAGATTCTCTGATGAACCTAGTTAGTCTACAGACATATGGCAGAAAGTATGTTGCAATCAATAGGTGCTGAAGTACACAGTGGTATACCTAGGAATCTTTATATGGGGAGGCACGAAGGTGAAGGGGGGTGGGGGTGCGCTCGATGATTAAGTAAGTGGGAGATAGCTTCAAAAATAAGGTTGAGGAGATTTCTAACTACACCAAAGATACGCCACTGGAAGTACAGACTTAAGACTTACAGTATGCTACACTAATGCCTGAGTGCATGCACAGGGACATTTGCGAAGATGTGAGATTAAATCTTATTATAGCTGAAAGGGAAAGGGGGTGGGGGAGGGGAATACAAGCAAACAAAGCGTTCTCAATGTTGATGAATGTGCTAAAATCGCTAAAGTGATGAATGCAATGAATATTCCATATTTGACATATGAAAGAAAATATAAAATTACCACTCTGTTTCAAGTCATCATTATCATTATCATTATCAATATCATCTCCTTCAAAAGAAAACATTGCCAACTGAACATAACTTACAGAACATTTCAAACATTTTGTGTAATACAGAAAGGGTCATTAAAATCGGGAGACCTCCTTTGTTCAATTCTTTTCCATGGAATATTGAACAATATACCTGTACACCTAAGCAATAAAATTCAATATTAATTCATCTTTTGTTGGTATTCACGATGCTGGACAACATGGAAATAAGAAATTAATATTTATATTTAATTAAATAACAATGTTATTATTATAGCGAAAACAAATTGCATTGATTGTCTTAATGCATTCACACTGAAAGGAACAAACACAAAATTTTTTTTTTTTTTAAAGTTTACAATTCACAAATTTGTTGACTAACATTATTCCCATGTTAAATGTTTTGTTGAGTATAGTAAGGTTAAAGATATTAGTTTTACATAGGCGAACCCAGGATGTTTCTACCAGGGGGTGCAAAGTGCCAATCGAGGTTCATGGTCTGAGGGAGATGGCTTTAGAAGGGGCTCTCCCTTCCCTACATTGGGTCCAGGAAGCTACAGAGTTTCAGACATTTCAGGTATGATTAAAAGAATCTTTTTGCTGCTGCTGGGAGCATGGGTGGCCTTTCACTACAACATGGGTCCGCCACTGTTTTATGTTCAGAAAAAGGTAGGGTGTACAGAATATTAGATAAATATATTTAATTTGTGCAAAATTCACAACAACGTGTTTGAAGCATAGCGTGAAAAACTTACCACCACAAATATCATCACCTGCAGCCAAAAAAATAAAAACAAAAGAAACAAAAGAAATTTTAAAAAATTTTGAATCAATAATATTAAAAACAAGTATTTAACGGCCATGTAGCATTTTGAAATTTAGAGGCAGTATCATACGCTCCATTACCATGTTTATAACTAATGGAACAACAGGAATCAACAATTCCAAATACATTTAAAAATTAACAAAAAAAATACATTAAAAAATTAACAAAAGTATTAATGAAATTAATAAAAGTATTACCGTAATACTAAAGTATTTTAAATAAAATTTTTGTTAGTTGGATTTGTTGGTTTATAGTATCTGTAATTGCTGAATATAGCAAATATATTTCTAATAGCCTACTCATTCTTTCACATTAGCTTCATGAAAGGTGAGCCTAATGATTAATGTTAAAAACAGGAATTGACTTATTAGGCAAGGCACATGTACCAAGGATATCCAGAGCAAATTATAGCAGTCTTATATAATAACCAGCAATCAATTTCATTATTACATTTTTCTGTTGATGAAAATCTACTTACCGACGGAAGTAATGTTATAATTACGGCGAACATTTATATCTTGACCTTGAATCAGAAGCAGCTGGATTATCTGGGGTCGATTATTGAGGGCAGCATAGTGGAGTAATGATAGTCCAAATTCATCCTGCTTGCCAAGCCTCGAAGCTGCTACCTTACGGGCAAGGGTTTGAAACGCGGCAACTAGTCCGCGTATTGCACATATTTTTAAGCCTTCCTGGATATTCTATAATAGAGAAATATATATATAGTATTTATTTGAATAAACTCCCCCAGGCATTTATTGTTGAAAAGGACTTTTGATGAGTTGGGGCAATTAGTTTTTTGAATGCAAAATTTCACTGCTGCAAATGTGGAACAACTATGCAGAATTACTGTAAAAATGTATTAATGTATGATCAATAAAAACTTATTGATCCCAACCAGGTTTGAAAAAATGCAATTCTATTATATAGTAGAACATTAATAGAATGTGTTGAAAATGATGTTTCTTCTATAAGTTTGGTTTACAGTCATTTAGGGGGAATTTATTCAAGAAAAAATAAATGCATTGGGGCGATTATTCGGTGGGGGGGGGGCCTTCATTCAATATGGGGCATTTATTCAAATAAATACAGTAAATCAATGTTTATTTAAACCATATCTAAAAAGGATGAGCCTTCCAACTAAGCCAAGAAGGTCAGATGATGTCCAGAGGCCCTATTTAATAAAGTAAAATGTATGACAATTCAATACAGTACAGATAATTATATAAAATGCAAGTAAAAATTTAAAATATTATCCAAAAATGTATACTCTATTATACTAAAATAGAGGGTTTTGTGTACCTTGAATTTTATTGCCTGTTTTAAGCCATATTTCTTCTTGAATTGTTCGTGTAGGTGAACATCAGTAAGAGGGAGACGCCTTGGCTTCATGTCTTTGATCCGGTCATAAACTGCATGAAGCCACAAAGGTTGTGGTGGAGCTACTGGATAATAGGTTTCAAAATCCATTGCAAAAATGTAATATCTGAAAATAATAAGATACAAAAATATCTACTCTAGCTTCAAGTAATAATATTTTTAAAAAATAATATTATTATTAAAGGTATTTACTTTCTATTTTTATTTTGTTGGTTTTACTTTTAATGTAACTTACTGATTCCAGCTCATTGTAACATGACATGCTGCCACTTGGTTCTATGATACCTGATCTATTGCCACTTATGTGCTACCTGGATCATTACTAATGACTTGCTGCCCACATGCAACATGTCATCTGATTTTTTCCATCTAGCCCATTCCCAAATAGCCAGTTATGGCGTCAGTGGTGGGCAGGGGGGAATTTGCAAGCCTCAATGATGTTGTCGGATCAAAAATAATAATTTGCTATCCAAATATTTTGATTGCCAATCCTTATTATTGAGGTCTAAAAGTACAACTTGTGCCATCCTTGGCCATATTAAGCTGTAACAACTCTCCCAGTGAACCTTACCAGGAGTTTCTATTCCGGGACCCTAACTGAGATTCTAGTTCCATTGAATTGGACTCTGTTGTTAGCAAATTTCTGGAGCCATTGCTGCACATAGCCTGTTTCAACTTGGACATTACCTTGTATGTTTCCTTATCTATTGCCATGTATATTTCCTTATCATTTTTCTCAACTGCCCTACTGTCAACAATATCCCTAGTACGACCATCAGGCACAGCAAAGACTAATTTTTTTCAAGAGGAATACTTTATCGTGCACAACTAACATAATTTGACAGGGAAGCGTCTTTTGATTTTAATTGCATAATCAACTCAACATACATTACAATTTTTCCTCAAATCACCCTTTTTTCCAATCTGGTGTACATGGTACGTCTAGAATTACACTGTTTGATTAAGTGCAACTGATTTATTAATGTCTAAAAAATATTAATTTGCATTACTTTATTATTTTACTAACATAAAACAACTAAGAAAGTGAAAGTACAGCATAGACATATGAACTGCATTTAATGATTAACGATTAATATACTTACGATTTCCCATTGATTGTTTTGATCGGTAAGTTGTGGTGCTCATGGTACGGTGTGTCTGGGTCTGTTACGTCTGCCAAGTGCTGCATGGTTTCCAGTTCAATCTCCTCGTAAGATTCAACAAACTCCTCGCTGGGCTTTCGGATTTCATCCGTCTCAATGTCCATCTGGATGCCTCCGTGTAAATGAAAATATTCCTTTCCAAAATCAAAGTTTTTACATTTAAAATCTGGTCCAATCATCAGGGGAGGGAGTTCACGTTCTGTCTTGCAGTCGTCAGCTGCAGAAAAAAAAAAAAAACTAATTAAAACTTAAGTTCAAATATTCAATTTAAACAGTTAATTGCTCCCTACAATATACTGTATCATTAATTACATTTCAGTAAGTTTATTAACTTCTAGGCAAATCACAATATCAAAATAAAATGCACATATAAAACAGGCCCGAAAATTGCTTTAAAAGCAAATTTTACACAATCTTTAAAAAACTCTCTACAAACATAAACATTTATCATTGAGCACCAATGAAGAGCAGCACTACTAAAAAAAAGAAACATCGAATATGAACAGGGATTAAACAATCCAGTGCTTTGACCACACTATTAAGCAAATTTAGTAGAACTCCGCATAGTACACTATAGAAAAATTATTATAGGAAGGTTAGATTTAACACTTGAAAGAAATTTTTGAATGCATTAAATCTAACCTAAGTATAATTTTCCATTTATTGTACGATGCATGCTCAACTAATTGCTTTATAAGTCAATCGCCGTCTTTTATTTTTAGTTTTTTATAACCAACTGTTGTAGCAGTTATCAAGTTGCTATAGTGATATGATCATCAGTATACGTGTGCGTATTTACATTTAGCTGTGCGTATGGTGATTTTCGCTCCTGTAGTACGCGTTTAATTAACTACACATCAGCAGTAAAGTACGGATACGATGAATAACTATTGTGTTAGAAAGAACTTGTTTGCAATGCTATTTTGATAGACTTTTGTCAAAGAAATCAACATTTCAGCATTTGAGAGAGAATACATTCACTGGCGTCCTTTTTGGTCGGTGCATGCAGACAGGTAAAATCTGCGATGATTTCATAACTAGGCTAAGCTACGGCCTAGTAGTAGTAGGAGGAGGCCCGGGCGGCCATGGCCTGGCTGTAGGCCTGCATCTACGTTTGTTCCTTGAGTCTTTAAAATAGGTCTAGAATATTCCTAATAAACGTTCATTTTGTTGTGTTTATGAGGGTCCATTGATTCAATGAATTCCTTAATTGTTCATACTTAATATTGAATTTGAGGTAACTTTCTTCGCGTTCTAATTAAGCTTGTTTTATGAAAGTAATTTTCAATTACAATTCAATTTTTATCGCGGTGCGCGATGTATTCACAGTGACGAAAAAATGAGGAATTTTTTTTGCACACCTAAAAAAAATCAAGCCAAGCGTCCACTAATAGAAAAATTAGTGGATGCTGGGGAATAGGCAAATAACATTGGGAGTTACAGTCATGATGTCTCGATTGACTTATAACAAATTTTATGTGACAAAATTTTGTTTGATGTGCCCATACATGGGCAGGATGTTGTCATATTACACCCAAATATGGGCATAACACATTTATTAGTCATATATAATTTGATAGTGTGGACAAGAGCTTAAGAACATTGTGGTCTAATACAGATGTTATTTAAAATTTGGAACCATCAATTGTATTCAAATCTATGCTAAGAATATGAAAATAATATTTCTTCATACTCTATAATTACAATCAATATATTTGATTAAAACTCATTAAATTTTTTATCTCATAAATCCAAACAGTTAATAAAGAATTAATAATACTCAACGCCTCAAAATATTGATCTAGCCAAACACAAATGCATGCAAGGCCACCATCATATCAAAAACATTTGTAATTAATGGACAAACCACAACTAGAAATACCATGGTTGCCACACATTATGCAAGCTAATTCAACAACGGATAGTATTAGTAAGGTAAACAATCATTATTCAATGCACCAGTAATGTATTTTGGAAGAAAGTTGTGAAGAAGAAGAAGGCTGGATGCAGCAGTGGGTTCAGAAATCTTCCATCAGGGTCCAAAAAGTTCTCAGGGAGTCCGAACCAAAGGGGTCAAGGGAAAAATTTTATAATTTAAGAAACGTTGTGCTTTAGACCATTAAACTATGTGCTGATGGGATGAAACCATAATTGTAAGAGTTGCATTAGTCTAACATTAGTTATGTGTACTTGGTACAGTAGAAGTGAGTAATGGAATCAAATTGGTGTGGTGCTAAGTAAATATCCAAAAGCAGAGGAGATAGGACATGATATATGGATGAACTTACAGTAGGCCTATCCAATGACTGGGGAACAACCTACCTCCTTGGTGTGTTCAGCTTTATACAAGATTTGACCATTACATTGTATTACCATATTTATGCGAATAAACGACCCGGGGTGTTTATTATTTGAAAAGTGTTTTTGATAGGCCGTTTATTTTAATGGTGTAAAATTGATTCGTATATACTCAAATAAATGCCCCTATTTTTACTGCAAATGTGGAACTACAACACATAATTAAAGTCAAAATGTGTTATTGACTGCATGATCATGAAGACTTATTGATCCCAACCAGGGATTTTACTGGAGTAGAACATTAATAGAACATGTTGCAAATGATGTTGCTTTCATCAGATTTGTTTAAAGTAATTTAGAGGGCATTTATGCAAAAATAAATAAACACCTCAGGGCTTTATTCGAGGGAGGCGTTTATTTCAAATGAGGCTCTGGGGCACAGGTGGGCAAAGTGCAGCACACCGGCCACATGCGGCTGGACAGCAATTTTTTTGGTGGCCTACGAAAATGAATTAAAATTCCTATGTGTGCAGCCCGCTACGCAACATTGGCTAGAAAACACCTTGTTTTTTACGACCTGACACCATCATATGTAAAACGTAACATTAAAACTGAGAATGAAGTGGTGTAAAAGCATTGCTTGGAGATTTTTGGAAGCTCATTGGAAACATCAAAGTTTGGGTGTGGCCCTCGGTGTTAAATCAAAAATTCACTTCAGCCCTCCGGCGGGTTTTTTATGCCCACCCTTGCTCTAGGGGGTGTTTATTCAAAGCGGGGCATTATTTGAATAAATATGTTATTCAATAACATCCTTGAAGCCATGTAATTTACTATAAATCATAGAACTTCATTAAGAATACTTAAATCTTTGGATGCAAACTGGGAGCTCCTTACCTAGCAATGGTGGCAGAAGCCTGTGGATGTCTGGTACTTTGTTGCGCCGTCTCATTGCGATTAGGAACGAAGTCATGAAGCAAACAAAATGGAGGAGCTGCAACTGTCTGCGAATTTCAGCTTTGTTCTGCATGTTGTTCTCGATAACATCCAAGTGAGCTTGCAATCTTGTTTGCAGTCGCTCATATGTGTCACGATCAATTCTTTTTTCATCCAACTAATTATTTAGAAATATAAATAACATTAATATGTGTCATATAAAATGTGGAAGAGGTCATTTTTATTGACATTTTAAAACCAATCACTCGTCGCAAATTGTGTTTCAGAGAAAATAGCAAAAACATGCTAGAATGTAAAATTTTTTTTAATCTATTTTATTTCACTAAACTAAGGTTTATGTATCTATACTTCATGCTGTGCTGTTATTTTTCCCAATTTCAATGTTAAAACAACACTTTTTAATGATTTTATGATAGTTTCTGCATTAGAAATGCCTGAAATTATAAACTTTGAAGGCTGATTTCTCATATATTGTTCTTCAAACAGCTGTATGCTTAAATGCTTGTAACTTCAGAAGGCAATGTCGGATTTGAACGATTTTTTTACCATTTTATAGCTCTTATTTTAATCTTTAACCCTGTATTAATAACTCAAAACCGATTTTTGCGACGGGTGACAGGTTTGGCTTGTCTTTGCCACATTTTATTCTTCCTTATTTTTTGCAATTGAGCTTTAGTTTTTAGGTGCATAGAGATGATATAGCATGCACTTTGCAAACATATCACTATTACCTTGATAACACTTGTTACATTATGAGTTCCATCGTAGAGGAACATGTTGTGATGCTGGTAGACGTTCTGGTGTCTCAGTATCATCTGCACGGACATATCATTCACATAGCTCATAAAGAGCTTTTTGTCCATGTTTGCATCATGTATGCTCATTGGAAACAGCTTCATGTTGTCATAGATACCAGTAAAGTCTGGATCCTTGGTAATGTCCAACATACCTGCATAATAAATTCAGTTTAAACCTTTATGTTCAAACTAAGATGCATGTTTTTAATTTATTTATTTTTGAAATTAAATATTTAATGCAGATGCTCATTAGCATTGAGGAGCCTCTAAAAACCCCCCACAAAAAAATATTAAAATGTATTTGAATTTAATATGTAATATTGATACAAAATACAAAAAAATTATAATAGAAAAACTCAAAATTTACTCTCAGAAATGATAGTTGTATGTAATGTAACTGCACTACGAATTATTTTTTTAAAATGATATAAAAAAAAAAATAGAAAATGTGATATTATTTAGAAAAGTAAGTAGAGTAAGTTTTTAGTATGTTTATGGTGAATTATTGTAAATTTATATTTGATTCTTAATCTGTATTGCCAGTCAAATACACACTGGATGGGAGGGTCTGGTCTTTAAGTACAGTAAACTTAATTTAATACTATAACAATGTCTCAGAGAACCACTCCCATCCAGTAGTTACCAAACAAATATATGGCCAACAAAACGAAAAAAAAAAAATCTTTTATTTCATTTTCAGTTAATGCGAGTGGCTCACATTCAATACAATACTAGGCACAAGTTTGTAAACAAAATTCGTCTTTAGAAAATACAGATTTTTGTATTCTGTAAAGTATGCAATTCTAACTTTAACATCTCAAACGAAACTAATCAAATCCATACGAACACTAGTACTGTAAAATAAAGACAAATAATAGATTTAGATAAGTATTACGATCTACACAGCCCTTGATAGCTATCATCATTCCTACCTAGCATACGAAAAAACTAGGGCTAGCTAGGCGTGAAAGACTAGACAATTGTACACACATCGTACGTACTGTATGCCTATTAAAAACAATTATTGTACAAACAAATCTGTTTTACGAACAACCAATTTCCTTGGTTTGACGACGTACATGAAATTTAGTGTCTGGTATAGCCTGTTTCAGTCAAAGTTTTTACTTTCCTAGCAGTTTTTGAAGCAAAGAAATTTTGGCCTAGGTTGGCAAAAAATTGCTGTCCTATAGCAACTCTGGCTTGGCAATATGGTCGTCAATTACCGATTGCCGACCTGAAATTCATGGACTGAAGTAGTAATAATAGTCCTGCTTACCTGCCAATAAAAACTCATTAAGTATTGTCTTCTTTGTTTCCGGCACACCTTGTGAATTGACATCTAAGTTAGAGCGCCATCGCTCAGCAAACTTGTACCTTTTATCCTTAGGAAAGAATGAGCCATGCCACAAAGCTTTCATCATGTAGTCAACGTTTATAAACAGCTGCCCGATGCGAGTGTCATTATAGGCTGGCGGGATATGGCAAGCTGTTCCTTGGTCAAAGTTCGCTTCAAGACAAATGCTTGGAACCTGATTCAATCCGTAGATTCCAATCACCAACTCGCGTACGATCTGATGTATCTCACGGAAATCCCAAGGCTCAGCAGTGGCATCGACCGGGACAGCAAATACGCAGTTATTCTGTGAGAATGGCTGCATCGACAACACAAGGCCTTGCGGTGTGTCGACTTGAAGCCTGTGTTCTTCGGCTGAAAGCAGCCAATGATAGGATGTATGTGCAAGAAGTTCTTGGGCTTCAAATCTCTCATACTTTTCAAAGACCTGTGCAGCCAGGCGATTGGCTGTCGCATTTGCGACTAATGCCGGGTCATCTACTCCTGCAGACATTGTGATATAAAACTGAAAAATAGTAGAAATTTTATTTATAATGATATCAAATATAAATAAATAGGCTTAGGAACTGTACTGTAGATACAAAGTGGAAATAAATTAATTAATTAAAGCATAATTTTTCCCTCCCTTTGCTAATATCATAAACAAGTGTTATACAATGCAAATTATTCAATCTGTTTATGTAGGCCAATAAGACTACAGAACTTCAGTCTTTGATCTTAATAATTTTTCATCAATATATAATTAATTATTTTTAAAAAAAGTAAAGAAAAAACATTTCTTACTGACCTACCAATTTTTGGGATTTTCCCAAAACGTGGCCTACACACAAGAATTTTTTTTTTGGTCTTATTTACTTTTAATATCTGGACTAACCTGATGTTACACTATCCGAATCAAGGCTGCAGTGAAAGCCGGAGGCTGACTACATATTCAACCTCACTGTTATTTTACCAATCTGAACCATTTTTACATTTCATCATTAATCCAATGTTACACAAAGTCCCTCTAAAAGTCTACCCTAACAAACTCGCCACCCCCTTTCCCTTTACAAATTCACCCCTCTATCAAATTACCCCTCTATAAAACTTCACCTCTATCAAGTTTCTCCCCTAACAAACAAATGACTTTTTACAGTAGTTCTGCAGAACTAGAAAGTTTAAAGAGAAACGTTTTTACTTTGATAAGGGGCAACTTTGCTAAGGGGTGAGTTGACTGGTTTCCCATATCCCCCACGCAGCATTAACAGCAGCTTACCAAGGGCGTGCTCCCATCCCCTCCCTCTCCCCAGGTGTTCCCCTCCCCACCCACTGAAAATGTCCAATCAAAAAAATCACACTCAAAGTTATAAATCACCACATATCACCTTATTTTGCGACCTAGTTCCCCCTCACTTAATTATCGAGCCCCACCTCCCACCATCCACCCCCAACCACTCACTACATTTGAAGACTCTCTACTAGACGCCACTATACTACTACTAGGCCTACTACTACTGACCAATAATAATAAATAATAAACTAGGGATAAGCTGTCCTCCTTGTGTCGTCAGTGATACAGTCCGTCATTAAATTACAAAAAAAAGGAGGCCTACCTCCAGGCAGGCTGTAATCTGACCAGGCCAGGCGGGTCACTGTATTGCACTTGTGTAGGTGTGTATGGTCTGGCTACGCTAGACTACTTCCTTACAACGTAGTATGCCTCTATCTAGCACTAGCATCAGGAAGGGCCTAGACTAGAGCAGCACTAACAAAGCATTCATTATGTTGTTATAACTAGAAAGTTAGTACTGTACATTGTCTTGAATTATGCACGAGAAAACAGCCAACTACTTTTTAATACTTTCCAATGCAAATACATCGAATAGAAACGACATAAAAGCCGTGGATATCAAAGTTTCTTACCGACTGGTGATTGACATGTTTGTAGGAGTCCGGGTGATTGTAAACAAAAGTCTTATTTTGGAAACAAACCTTGTGATTGGTCAATTGATATAAATGGGTTTAAATGAGGGCGCTAAAAAGGAAAATTGCTTGCTCAGAAAGCTGAGGCAGAAGACTAAATAATCGACGTAATACAAAACTACAGTACATGGATTGATTTATGTTTATAAATGTCTATTTAAGTTATTCATCACTTGACCACATTTAACGTCTTTATAAATCTATTTGTCTAATCTATAAGTCTAATCAAATCTATTTGTTTTTAAATTTAATGTTTTACTCTAAATTAATAACTTATATAGACTATATAAATTAGGAAATTTAAATATCAAATTGAATTTCAATTGGTTTATTTCATTGGGCATCCAGTGCGTTTTCAGGGGTAAAAAAATTACCAGGGATGGGGTTCGAACCCATGCGGACATACGTCCATTGGAACTTAAGTCCAACGCCTTAACCACTCGGCCACCCGGGTGATGGTTACATTTTAAAAAGAAAACTTAGCGAAATGGTCATTCAAATACAAATGTGTGCACGCCTTAGCGGTTAATTAAAATTGGAAGAGTACTAGGCCAAATCAAATCCTCACTTGCTGAATACGCTAATTGTATAAACACACCCCCTCCCTTGGAAGAATATCTTCTTGACAATATAAACTTTTACGCTGCTACTTAAAAATTTTCAATGAAGGTCCAACACTTTACCATTAGATGGTCGAACATGTATTCTAAATGGGCATCGAGTACTATTGATGGTAAAGCACTTTGTGCTCACTTGATCATATTGAAGATAGGTTCATTTTCTGTTTGATTGTGAAGCTGAGCATACAAAGATATTAGGCTTGAGGAGTACCAAATATTGAAAAATTCTTTAAAACTTCATGGCCTTGATATCACATGCAATAAATTTTCTAAATAACATATTATTAACATAAAATTCATATTTATTATTGGCAACACATATCTGACTTGTGAAAATTCTTCATAATGGTTTCTTTGATAAATACTGTCTATAATAGACTACACAAAAAGCATGAAAAAGAAGATATTGCTTTAAAAATGTGTAAATTATAATATTGCTCTTTTATAATTTCAATTTTCCACATTGCTAATTCAAAGATTATCTATTTCTTGGAATTGTTAAAATTATTATTATTATTATTATTATTATTATTATTATTATTATTATTATTATTATTATTATTATTTATTTATTTATTTATTTATTTATTTTTTGCCCTTGATGAAATTAGTTGTTGTTTGCCATTTTGCATTCAGTTTCGTTGGTCGTTCTTTTTTGGCTTCTATTTGTTAAGCATTATTTTAAGTTCCTTAACTGTATATTCTTCTATCTATGCATTTTGCTTGGTCATTAAGTATTATTTTGTAAGTCCTTTTACTGTGTAATATTTTTTCTTTTGGACGCACCTTCACTTTTTGAAGTGTGACACTGTTAAAAAAAAGTGTAGCTTCCGAATAAATTACTTACTATCAATCATCATTATGTTCTTTATAAATTATTTATTTCCACCATATTTTAAAGCTAATGCACCCAACTTTTCTTTTGCGTTACGCGATGTAAACTAATGTAAAGTTAATGACAGCTAAAATAATGTTAAATTAAAAATATCGTAATACTCTATTTTTCTTTTTAAAAAAATACCTGAATCTTTTAAGGTGGCCTCCGCCCAGCAACAACAGACAATGGTTTACTGTTTATCATTTTATCATAAATCAATGTTCTAACTGATGAAAATTTTAAGTTTTCTAGTGAGACTAAGGAGGTAAATCGCCAAACAAATCCTTTAAATGAATATCTGATTATTAGCAGTTCCCGTGGTGCTGTAGGCTGGGCCTTAATAGTCGCGATTTGAAGAATAATAGGTTTAGTGGCACACACTAGCCTCACAGCATAAAACAGGGTGGCTATAAAATATGATGTTGATTAACGACTGGAAATTACATTTAATTTAAGACAACTAAAGCGTTGGTCTCGTGTTGGTTCGTGCACGTCACACTTTGGAAAAGAACAGGGTTCTTAAAAGTATCAATTGAAAATTGTTATTAGATTCCAATAATTCGTTTCGCTGATTTACTTTAATGAATCATTAAAATTCATTATCTGTTGATTAAATAGTCTGTAAATGAAAATATAAATTACTGTATTTATTCGAATATACGCTTCCCTCGAATAAACGCCCATGCCGTTTTTTTTTCACTCGAGTGACGACGTCCTACACTAAATGACAGTAGAAATAATTTAATGGAAGGATGGAAGTAACACCATTCTCGACAGTCTCTTAATTTTCTACTCAAATAGAATTACATTTTCCCAACTTGGTTGGGGTCAATAAGTCTTTATGAGATTTGTGTATTGTATTTCAACATCTAGCCTACAATATAAAAAATGACAACAGCATTTTTAAGACTAAATTGTATAATTTATTCTCTAAATAAATTGTATACAAGATTTATCTTAAAAGTGAAAGCAGCTACACTTTTTATTAACACATTTACAGTGAAATTAGGGGCATTTATTTGAGTAACCGTATACATATCCATTTTTACCGAAAAAAAAATAAACGCCTCCATTATGAGTTGAATACTGCTGAGTGGTTGAATAGCTTGGTGGTGCTGCTTGTCTAATCCTAGGGCCCTGGGTTCAATTCCTGTCAGTGTTGCAGGATTTCTTTTCACATGGCTAAAACAACTGCACTCCCAAAGCCTCATAGTTTGTGTAAAGCATCGTGTGTGTATATATTGTCTTGTGAATGGGGATTGTCGCCAACAAGTAGGAGACAGTGATACAGTATATTCGCTATTAACAATCCTTGGCGCATGGTTTGTGCGCCTGAATAAAATTAATAATGATAATAATATTAATAATAATAATAATAATAATAATAATAATAATAATAATAATAATAATAATAATAATAATAATAATAATAATAATAATAATAATAATAATAATAATAATAATAATAATAATAATAATTAACATATAACAAACTTTCGGTACACCATGTGTAAAAATAACAGAATATGGTTTTTATTAAGGTAAAAACCATTGGTTGGTTGTCTCGACGTTTCGGTAAGATTGCTCTGACCGTCATCAGGAAAATGATAAAAGATGACTTATGTTGGTCTTAAATAGAGTTGGTGATCGTCGGTGATCTATTGTTTCCCATTTTGAAACAAAGAAGGTGTGGATAGTGCTTGATTGAAGTAGAGAGCTAGGAGTGTCCATAGATCATGACTAATTGTCTTCCCATAATAGAGGATTAGCTATTATGTCGGCTGTGTAGAAGCTGTGAACAGTAAATCTGAAAACAAGTAAAGTGGTTAACAATAAGCAAGGTGTAACCGTTCTCCCGCAGTTTAAGGGACAAACCCGACAGGCTCCTAATTCACAGGTTACCATCCCATGCCAATAAAAATGATAACCAGCATTACATGTAAACAAATGAACTGTATATAGAAATTCCCTGGAACTATTGTAGTGACGATGGTTTAAATAGTGATAGCCATATATAATAATAATAATAATAATAATAATAATAATAATAATAATAATAATAATAATAATAATAATAATAATAATAATAATAATAATATTTACATTTAATATTCGTTTAGCCACCATATTGTTTGTGTTAACTTTTCATCATCATCACAACAACAACAACAGCAACAATAATAACAATAATAATAATAATAATAATAATAATATTTACATTTAATATTCGTTTAGCCACCATATTGTTTGTGTTTGTATCATCACCACAACAACAATAATAATAATAATAATAATAATAATAATAATAATAATAATAATAATAATAAACAACACGCCCACAAAAACCCTTCTCAATAAATAATAATAATAATAATAATAATAATAATAATAATAATAATAATAATAATAATAATAATAATAATAATAATAATAATAATAATAATAATAATAATAATAATAAACACGCCCACAAAAACCCTTCTCAAGAAACAACACGCCCACAAAAACCCTTCTCAATAATAATCCCAGGGGCGTTTTTTTCGAATAAATACGGTGCTGATAGGCCTACCACATGTGTACATACAGACTGCGTTACATCAGTCAAAGGGTTTTATAATCAGGTGACGCGATGTAACATAAAAAACACGATTTCAACTTCAGGGAAAATCCGAAAAAGTGGCCACCGCGCGTCTATCTATTCTGAAAGTTCTCCGACGACGGCAAAGGGTAGCCACGGAAAAGAGTCGTGTTTTAATACTGAGATACATTTATCTTTGTCTTGAGTTTAAAATTTATAATGGATTTAGAAGCAGTTGGTAAGATGAAGGTATGTTTCTCTCATATATAAAGTCAAAATAAATTTGAATTGTTGCTACTTTTTAGACAGGCCTAGGATTCTAGGCCAGGCATTGCTGACTTGGTTTGGTTATCTTCGTGTCGTACCACGTCAGCAAGGGTAGACGGTGGCGGTGCAGGATTTTCTTGGAAAACCTAATCTAGGGCCTAGGCCTAGACCTTTTCTTGATATCTTGATATTGTGATTGATAGGCTTCGAAAATGGAACCTAGCAGTCTCAACGTGACTCGTGAGGTGGAGATTGATCACTGTAGGTAGTAGTTTACTAATTTATTTTTAAAATAAACATGATATTTAGGCCCTTGCCTAGCTAGCTACTATTCTAAGCTAGGCCTACTAGGCTAGTACTTAGGTAGGCTAGCCTAAGCTAGATTAAGTATATAGGCCTTGGTTAGGGTAGCCTAGTAGCGTCGGGGCCTAGGCTAGGCTAGGCCTACCTATAGTTTTTGGCTCCACTTTTCAGTTAGTTTTGCAGTTCTGTTTTGTTGGGATCTCTATGATGAGTGATGGGCGACTTGCAAGCCAGTGTTTTGTCTTTTTATTCAGATTTTACATATCAAAGACACAAAACAAAAATATCTGGGATAAAACACAACAAGTCACTATTGTAATTCAATTCGAGCAGATGCCACTTTGAGCGAATGCCAGTTCGAGCAGAATTTACTTAGAGCGGATACTATTTCGAGCGGAAAAAGATCCACTTGTGCAAACAACAGCCTGTGCGAGTTATGTATGAATTACATTAAAATTTCCTATTTTGAGCTAACAATTTGCATTCGGCGAGGCTCAAGCTTTGCCTGGGAGCCAGGGGAAAAGCCCTGGTGGGTTCCGGGGGAGAAGCCTATAGCCTTACGTATAGAAAGTCGTGTTTAATTGATTTTTATGTTAAGAATTTACAATTAAACATACCTACATTCATAAAAATTATGATTTATCTTACTAACTTAGTCATTGTTAATCTTTCCACATGTTTTAAAAAACAGTGGGTTTTGAACTATAGACGAATGGTGAATAGTGGAGAAAATTGGTATGATGTCATTATTAATATAGTGT